TCTGGGCTGGTAACTTCAAAAACTGACCAGCCCAGATGAGATTTAACCAGTCCTTCTTAAATACTAAATAGACAGTGCTAGTGGACACGCTATCTGAAATATTACCACGTTAGCTGTAAAATTATCCGTCCGGCAGAAATCTACCCCGTTTCGGGCTGTCGGACGGGCCTTATTTTTATACACTGGTATTGGGGATGTTTGTAGTATTGCAGTAGACATAATGGCATCATAGGCGGATCCAGATTCGGGTACAGGGGTGCGCCCCCCCACTTTTGCCCTGAAAGTTTATTTAATGACCATTGAAACTTGGGGGGAAAATAAAGTGTGCATCCCTCCTTTACTCAATAGTGTGCACCCACCCTTTCTCAAAAAGCTGTATCCGCCCCTGGGCATTGTGGATGTTCTCCGATAATATGATGGAAGCTGTGATATTGTGTTACACATGTTATAACATCAGAGCTGAGACAGTGATATTGTGTGGGGATATAACATCAGCTGAAGCAGTGATATTGTGTGACTGGTGCAATAAACCCATTATAACCCACCCGTTGGACTGTATTAGTTCCGTGTTCTCCCTATGTATATATTGAACACGGACTCATATCTCCTTGCACGTGTAAAATGTACAGTGATATTGTGTGGTGTTCTAACATGAGATAAAGCAGTGATATTGTGTGGGGTTATAACATCAGGTGGAGCAGTGATATTGTGTGGGGTTACAACATCAGGTGGAACAGTGATATTGTGTGGGGTTATAACATCAGGTGAAGCAGTGATATTGTGTGGGTTATAACATCATGTGAAGCAGTGATATTGTGTGGGGTTATAACATGAGATGAAGCACTGGTATTGTGTGGGGTTATAACATCAGGTGAAGCAGTGATATTGTGTGGGTTATAACATCAGGTGAAGCAGTGATATTGTGTGGGGTTACAACATCAGGTGGAGCAGTGATATTGTGTGGGGCTGTAACAGATGAAGCAGTGATATTGTGTGGGTTATAACATCAGGTGGAGCAGTGATATTGTGTGGGGTTATAACATCAGGTGGAGCAGTGATATTGTGTGGGGTTATAACATCAGGTGAAGCAGTGATATTGTGTGGGGTTATAACATCAGGTGAAGCAGTGATATTGTGTGGGTTATAACATCATGTGAAGCAGTGATATTGTGTGGGGTTATAACATGAGATGAAGCACTGGTATTGTGTGGGGTTACAACATCAGGTGAAGCAGTGATATTCTGTGGGGTTATAACATCAGGTGGAGCAGTGATATTGTGTGTGGTTACAACATCAGGTGAAGCAGTGATATTGTGTGGGGTTACAACATCAGGTGGAGCAGTGATATTGTGTGGGTTATAACATCAGGTGGAGCAGTGATATTGTGTGGGGTTATAACATCAGGTGGAACAGTGATATTGTGTGGGTTATAACATCAGGTGGAGCAGTGATATTGTGTGGGGTTATAACATCAGGTGGAACAGTGATATTGTGTGGGTTATAACATCAGGTGAAGCAGTGATATTGTGTGGGGTTATAACATCAGGTGGAACAGTGATATTGTGTGGGTTATAACATCAGGTGGAGCAGTGATATTGTGTGGGGTTATAACATCAGGTGGAGCAGTGATATTGTGTGGGGTTACAACATCAGGTGAAGCAGTGATATTGTGTGGGGTTACAACATCAGGTGAAGCAGTGATATTGTGTGGGGTTACAACATCAGGTGAAGCAGTGATATTGTGTGGGTTATAACATCAGGTGAAGCAGTGATATTGTGTGTGGTTACAACATCAGGTGAAGCAGTGATATTGTGTGGGTTATAACATCAGGTGGAGCAGTGATATTGTGTGGGGTTATAACATCAGGTGAAGCAGTGATATTGTGTGGGGTTATAACATCAGGTGGAGCAGTGATATTGTGTGTGGTTACAACATCAGGTGAAGCAGTGATATTGTGTGGGGTTACAACATCAGGTGGAGCAGTGATATTGTGTGGGGTTATAACATCAGGTGGAGCAGTGATATTGTGTGGGTTATAACATCAGGTGGAGCAGTGATATTGTGTGGGGTTACAACATCAGGTGGAGCAGTGATATTGTGTGGGGTTACAACATCAGGTGGAGCAGTGATATTCTGTGGGGTTATAACATCAGGTGAAGCAGTGATATTGTGTGGGGTTACAACATCAGGTGGAGCAGTGATATTGTGTGTGGTTACAACATCAGGTGGAGCAGTGATATTCTGTGGGGTTATAACATCAGGTGAAGCAGTGATATTGTGTGTGGTTACAACATCAGGTGGAGCAGTGATATTGTGTGGGGTTATAATGAAGGTGAAGCAGTGATATTCTGTGGGGTTATAACATCAGGTGAAGCAGTGATATGTGGAGTTATAACATCAGGTGAAGCAGTGATATGTGGAGTTATAACATCAGGTGAAGCAGTGATATTGTGTGGGGTTACAACATCAGGTGGAGCAGTGATATTGTGTGGGGTTATGACATCAGGTGAAGCAGTGATATTGTGTGGGGTTATAACATCAGGTGAAGCATTGATATTGTGTGGGGTTATAACATCAGGTGAAGCAGTGATATTGTGTGGGGTTACAACATCAGGTGAAGCAGTGATATTGTGTGGGGTATTACAACATCAGGTGGAGCAGTGATATTGTGTGGGGTTATAATGAAGGTGAAGCAGTGATATTCTGTGAGGTTATAACATGAGATGAAGCAATGATATGTGAGGTTATAACATGAAATGAAGCAGTGATATTGTGTGGGGTATTACAACATCAGGTGGAGCAGTGATATTCTGTGGGGTTATAATGAAGGTGAAGCAGTGATATTCTGTGAGGTTATAACATGAGATGAAGCAATGATATGTGAGGTTATAACATGAAATGAAGCAGTGATATGTGGAGTTATAACATCAGGTGAAGCAGTGATATTGTGTGGGGTTATGACATCAGGTGAAGCAGTGATATTGTGTGGGGTATTACAACATCAGGTGAAGCAGTGATATTCTGTGGGGTTATAATGAAGGTGAAGCAGTGATATTCTGTGGGGTTATAACATGAGATGAAGCAATGATATGTGAGGTTATAACATGAAATGAAGCAGTGATATTGTGTGGGGTATTACAACATCAGGTGAAGCAGTGATATTCTGTGGGGTTATAATGAAGGTGAAGCAGTGATATTGTGTGTGGTTACAACATCAGGTGGAGCAGTGATATTCTGTGGGGTTATAACATCAGGTGAAGCAGTGATATTGTGTGGGGTTACAACATGAGATGAAGCAATGATATGTGGGGTTATAACATCAGAAATGAAGCAGTGATATTGTGTGGGGTATTACAACATCAGGTGAAGCAGTGATATTCTGTGGGGTTATAACATCAGGTGAAGCAGTGATATTGTGTGTGGTTACAACATCAGGTGGAGCAGTGATATTCTGAGTGGGGTTATAACATCAGGTGAAGCAGTGATATTGTGTGGGTTATAACATCAGGTGGAGATGAGGTGAAGCAGTGATATGTGAGGGGTTAACAACATCAGGAAAGCAGTGATATTGTGTGGGGTATTACAACATCAGGTGAAGCAGTGATATTGGGGTTATAACATCAGGTGTGGGGTTACAACATCAGGTGAAGCAGTGATATTGTGTGGGGTTATAACATCAGGTGGAAGATATTGTGTGACAACATAGGTGGAGCAGTGATATTGTGGTTACAACATCAGGTGAAGCAGTGATATTGTGTGGGGTTATAATAACATCAGGTGGAGCAGTGATATCAGGTGAAGTTACAACATCAGGTGATATTGTGTGGGGGGTTATAACATCAGGTGGAGCAGTGATATTCTGTGGGGTTATAATGAAGGTGAAGCAGTGATATTGTGTGAGGTTATAACATGAGATGAAGCAATGATATGTGAGGTTATAACATGAAATGAAGCAGTGATATGTGGAGTTATAACATCAGGTGAAGCAGTGATATTGTGTGGGGTTATGACATCAGGTGAAGCAGTGATATTGTGTGGGGTTATAACATCAGGTGAAGCAGTGATATTGTGTTTGCGTTTTAACATCAGCATTGAAGCATTGATATTGTAGGTGTTTGGCATCTTACAGGATATCGCCCGAAACTTCTTAAGACTAAGAATACACAATATGAATACACAAGGCCATTAAGAAAGTGTAACATATGTTATATTTGAGGTTACACTTTCTCAGTAAAGTACAGATTGTTGGGATTCCGGAATTCAAACTACACCCTCATAGTCAGGCACCTAATCCCCAGCACACAGTCAGACACCTGATCCGCTCAGCCACCGCGACTTCCACTAAAAGAATAAACTAATCTCCTGTCCATGCATTAGGAATGGATCAACCTGAAATAATCTCCGAAAACTTCTTCAATAGTAAATGTTTGAGGAATGGGCATGATCTTGTCAGGCAGTCTTGTGGTTGTACATAGACTGCACTGGCATTTTTTTCATAATAGAGTAATACTATTAGTATTTGAACTAAACTGTTCATCAACCACATTCTTATGTTGTTTACCCGTGAAGGTCCGGGTTAGAATATTGGCATTCAGTTACCCATGTGATGCTTGTCGTAAGAGGCGACTAATGGGATCGGGTGGTCAGGCTCGCTGACTTATTTGACACATGACATCGGTTCCCATTTGTGCAGATGTTGGTTCCCAATTGCGCAGATTAATGTTCATGCTGTTGATCACTGGATTGTCTGGTCCAGACTCAATATTTACAAACCGCCGCCGCCATATAGCTGGAAAATTGTGTGGCATAAAACTCAACTCACTCTTATGTTATGGGTGTTTTGTGGTATGACTGAAGAAGCAATGACAGTTTACAGTGTTTTGTAATATTACAATAAATCCAATTATTTAGTGAGTCATTTGTGATAAATGGCATTGTGTAAAGAGGTATTTCTGTTAATGTTGCCTCCATACCTTACCCGAACTTCCTTTGTTTACAGACGATGAAGGAAGATGGAAACTACCCCTTTCTCATTTCACCTCCAAAAAACAAGGTGGCGAAAACAAGCACCACAACAAGAGCCTCAGGTAAATAGCACAAGTTTGTGAAAAACTGGACTGTTGATTAAAACTGGTGTAATTTCCTGAACATGCTCAAGGAAGGCGATTCAAAGCCATCGTGGAAAAAATACCAATATTGACACGCAAATGGGAAGTGACAAAATGTAATCATGTACTACATGTATCTGAAATATATATTTCATTAAGTAGAGATTCGATCTGGGTTTAGTATTGGTTGTCTGTAGCCATTGCTTGTTAAAGATGACTAATGGTGTAATTCTATCAGTTTGTACTGAAATCATCAAACTTTCCCAGAAAACACGGAAGAGTCACTAAAGTCAAAAGTTTTTATTTTACATCTCTATACAACAGTCTTTCATTCATTAAGATGCAACAGATTCACATTTGTCTGTTTAATTCTACACCGTTTTGGAGTTAATCTCCCTTATAGTTATACTTCCTGTACATGTAATATGATGTATTGACAAGAGTTATCTCCCTTTATATTACAGTATATTTCCATACAATGTCCGTACATCATATTGATGTACATGAGGTTTGAAGGTTCTTTCTTATTGACAAGGCAACAAACCAACCAAGCAACTCTCACACCCACTCACTCTTGCTTCATAGATTCTGTTACTCATGTAAACTTATTCACTCACTCACTCCGTGTCATGGTGTCCAGGGCGGTGGGGTAGCCTAGTGGTTAAAGCGTTCGCTCGTCATGCTGAAGACCCAGGTTCAATTCCCCACATGGGTACAATGTGTGAAGCCCATTTCTGGTGTCCCCCGCCCGTGATATTGCTGGAATATTGATATAAGTGGCGTAAAACCAAACTCACTCACTAACTTGGTGTCCAGGTCGTACTACAAGGCGCAGGACCGGCTGATCGAGTCCTTCGAGGAGCTGCAGCTAGAGATTGATGATGCTATGCTTGAGTCTGACATCAAGTTGCTCCAGAAGAAGGCACTGTTTTATGCTCGACTGACATTCGTTGTCAACTGTGTAAGTACATTCGACTTTAAAACAGTTAGTTCCATCATAGTGGAGCGGCTAAGCAGATAAAATGAGCATTTAATGATAAAAGCATGAAACTTTGCACATTTATAGATTGATGCATAGTGAACATTTTAGGATATGGAGGCACTCAAAATATTTTAATTTGCGCATGCGCAGTAGACAAATAATATTTTGCCTTTTCTGGCTCCCGTTATAGCTTTGGGCCTGCCATCAGTACAATAATGGGACGATTTTTTTCTAAATATACTGACCCAAAATACTCTTTAAACATCTTGAAAACATAGCTGAGTCAATGTTATGAACACTGGCTCTCGCACCAGTGCATGTAAGTGAGGACTGTTTGCACTTGCTTCGGTTGTTACATCCCTTTGTACTGACACGATACCAACTCCTGACAAGATTCTGGTGTAGTGTCATCCAGTAGGAACATACAGTCCACTTTCCTTCTGTATCACTCACTTGGAGATGGGAGTTCAGGCTGTGGAAGAATGACTGACCACACACATGACCTGCCTGGTAAGCTGCCCTTTTGACATGCTGTACATGTGTTGATGGGATGGCATGAATTGATTTTTTCTTCGCAAATAATCTCAAAAAAAAGTAATTGAACATAAAAAGAAAAATATTCTCAAAGCATCCTTCCATGATGGCAGGGAAGGAGCAGTTGCCATATAGTGCTCTTACTTTGTGTGGGTTTGAAGCTGAGGGAGGTTCTAAGCCTACATCTCTGTGCTGGAAGTATCACCGATCTCACCCAGAAGGATATGTAGTTGTTTTGGATACTTCTGCTGTGACATCTCTCATGAGCGGGATGAAGAGTCGTCTTAACTTCTGATGTCTGATGCTCGTTCTATTGAAGATAATAGTGGGATATGAAACTGTCCGTCTGTTTATTTTGGCAATAAAATCCAAACGGAGGCCAAGATGCACGGAAGTATTGGGACCTTTATCAAATCTGGTGAGGCTGAGGTCTATAGAATGGAATTCTGAGTGAGTTTAGAGCCTTCACCATGTTGATGACAGAGCTGATGGGTGCTAAGAGCCCAGTCTTGAGATTCTTTGAGGTTCTGAGGTTGTATATCTGCTGAAATCCCCTTACTGCTGGCAAATTATTAAAGACTCTTCCACTTATCATCATACAGGCTTCAGGTAGATCTGCATAAAGACCGAAAGACTTCTGCTCTGCTGGAATAGCCGCCACCTGATCAAGTTCTTCTTGATATGCTCCATGCGTGCAGATCAAAGACACTCGGATTTTGATGCTGCTGCTTCATGTGAGGATAAGTGAGAAGGTTTGACCAATCTGGAAGTTTTAGAACTGGATTGCCTGCTAGCTGGATGAGTTGGCTGTCCTGGACTTCAATGAATGATTGGACAGTCGAGGGGCCCAGTGGTTAATGGCTCGGATAACTGCCTAACCTCGGTGATTGATATGAAGTAGCTTTTCTTCTGGAGACCACAGCCCTGAGGTTACCTCTGTGTCGAGGTGTGCTCCCCAATCCTGTAGAGACGCGTCCACTCACAGATGCAGGTTGAAGCTTAGCTCGCCCAGAAGGTCCTTGCGCGCAAAACCTTTGATTTCATCGCCCACCATTGGAAATACTCTGGTAGGTGATGTGGTAGTTGTGGTCTGAAGTCCTGCTGGACCAGCAGTCAGGCTAGAAACCTCTGGATGGGTCAGAGTTGCAGTCTGCCCCTCTTCGTGAGTGATTGGGATGACGTTGGGCAGCAATCGTAGTGTTTTATTCAAAAGACGTTTGAGTTTAACGGCTTGTTGAAGTGATTTAATGCCATTGTCTAGGTAGAAGGTGCATCAAATTACCCTGAAGGAAGGTTGAAGGAAGCTCACGATAGGCTTGGTTACCCATGTATATAAGCACGGGCCATGAAATTGCCCTCCACTGTTTTTTTTATGGTTGAACAGGAATCGTAGATACTTCCTGGACCCTGGGTGGGTTGGCATATGCAGATATGCATCCCTTAAATCCATGCTTGCCAGAAAGTTGTTTGTCTTATCATCTTCTTCAGCTGTAGAAGGTACAGAATTCCGAACTTCTCTGTCTTCAATAAGTAATCATTGTTGAACGTCTTCATATTAGTCTGAATGGGTCTTCCAGAAGGTCCCACTTTGGCCGATACTTCCTTGTCTACGTAGCAAGGTGAGTCCCGCCGATGCTGAGCAGATCTGGTCGGAGATAGACTCCTGGTACTTCTCCTGGATGACCATGGACAAAAGCATACGTTCTTTGTCGGACTGTGGATCTTTGAAGTGTGATGTCATCGCCTTGTTGATGGATCTGGACATGGTGAGGCCGGGAAGACCCTGCATTCTGGTAGCTTTGGTTCTTGATGACTTGCAAAAAGTTGCTCCAGTTGGTGGTAAGGTGAAGGAGGACGATCCTTCGATGGGGAAGCTATGGGTAACCCGTCTGCAATCCAAGTTAGCTGGTATTTATCATCGTAGATTGATGTTGGGCCTCCATGATACGATTCTAACCCTGTTGGCACTATTATGAGAGTGTGAAGAGTGACAGGCTTGGTCAAGTGCATCCACTGCACATATGCAGCTTGGAATGTGTTGGGGTGAGATGTGTTTTTTTCTATTGAAGGGGAACACAAGCACTTGACTGCTCCCTTGTGAAAGACAATCTAAAGTATCTCCCTTGTTTGCCCTTGAGCCATGAAGTTGGGGAATAATCACATAGATTTTGATTGTTAAACATATCCAAGACTTTTTTTATTGTGCTGCATATCTTTTGTCACGTATTATGCTTATTTTCAGTCATTTGTAATCAGATAAATCCCAAGCATGCACACATTTTCTCAAAGAGTTCAATAGTCCAAAAAGCTGTCTGCAAGCCGCCATTTTGGGAAGAGGGAGTGTTAATTGTTTCAAAATGTTTTGTATTATTCTAAAATTATGTATTTTTTGTCTTTTCATGAACCTGTAAATCACTATTTATGAAAATTATAGGTGTGTAATGAATGGCAATAATAAAGATCGAAGGGGAAACGCTGAAAATAGTATGTCGTAGTTTATGTACTGCGCATGCGCACAAAATACAAAATTTGAGGTGCCTCCATATCTGAAAGTATTTCGGGATATGTTCTTTTATATGATCACCGATTTTGGTGCTTTTATCATCAAATGCACAATTCTTATGAAAAATTGATCTTAGCCGCCCTACTATCAAGCATGTTCTTGAGTTAAGAATTATGATTGGTTAAAATATGTCACTGCACAATGTAAGTCATTACTTAGTGGATTGTTGGTCGTACTGTCAAACAGAGGTTTCTCAGCATGGACAACGTAATGTTGTTGACTGAATAATTAAACAGAATTTATTCGCATGATTTGTCAGAATATTGCTGTCTGCAGCGTTATATAATTGTTTTTTGTCCAGTGAACAGAGCCGTAAAGATCCAAGGTAGAATAGGAACCTGTGCTTGTCGTAAGAGGCTACTAATGAAATCTGATGGTCAGGCTCGCTGTCCCAAATGTGTAGATCGTTCCTCATGCTATTGATCACTGTATTGTCTGGTCCAGACCAGATTATTTACAGACTGCCGCCATACAGCTGGAATATTGCTGAATGCGGCGTTAAACAACAAACAAACATACCATATAACTGTTATATCTTTGACATGTACTAATGGCAGCCATGGGAGTGACATAACTGTGTTATTATTGACACAATGTAACACGATGCTTCACGCCACCATGCATTGTATCTGTGTTCACCATCAGTGACTGCATTACATCTGTGTTAACCACATCTTGTTGCAGCTACTGTTGATAGCGAAGGCTGTGGCCAGTACCCTGTCGGGCTCCATTGCCATTATTTCCAGTCTAGTGGACAGCATCGTCGACCTCGCTTCAGGCATCATTCTGTGGTGGGCAACCAAGGCTGTGAAGAAGAGAGATCCCTACATATACCCACAAGGTGAGTACACATACTGGTGTACATACCCTCGACGTGAGACACCTCTAAATAAACCCGAATGTATGCCTATGATATGACACCATTACAGATATACTTGAGCTGACACAATATAGCACACCCTTGAAACATGAGAAATGTAAACATACACAGTTGTATTGATGTTGAGGTTCGACGCAGCCAAAACATGATAAATGAAGAAGGAATATGGAGGGATGCAACAGTGCACCCATACATGTTTCCTAATATAAGACACCCCTACATGTTTCCTAATATAGGACACCCTCACATGTTCCCCAATTTGGGACACCCTCAAATGTAGCCCAATATATAGACTAACAACTAGTCTCTGAAATGAACATATTTTACTGAAAAAAGTTCATAGTAAAAAAATATAAAATATAATGAAAAGGAGCCCTGAGACCTCCTTCATTTTCCTGAAGCTGAGGAAATCTTGACTTGCCAAATTTTCTAGACTTGTGTGGGCTTTCTTGGATATATTTGCTTCAGGGTCTGTACGAGAGACTACCCAATATAGGAAACCCTCACATGTAGCCCAGGGTAGGACACCCTAGCATTTACCCGATGTAGGACACCTTTACATGTATCATAAGGTAGGACACCCGCACATATATCAAGTATAGGACACACGTAGCCCAGTGTAGGACACCCTTGCATTAACCCGGTGTAGGACACCCTCACATGTAGCCCAGTGTAGGACACCATTACATGTAACCCAGTGTATGACACCCTTGTATTTACCCGATGTAGGACACCCTTACATGGAGCCCAGTGTAGGACACCCTCACATGTAGCCCTGTATTGGGCACCCTTGTATTTACCCGATGTAGGACACCTTTACATGTAGCCCAGTGTAGGGCACCCTTGTATTTACCCGATGTAGGACACCCTTACATGGAGCCCAGTGTAGGACATCCTTACATGTAGCCGAGAGCAGGACACCCTCACACGTAGCCAGTGTAGAGCACCCTTGTATTTACCCGATGTAGGACTATTACCTGAAGCCCAGTGTAGGACATCCTTACATGTAGCCGAGAGCAGGACACCCTCACACGTAGCCAGTGTAGGGCACCCTTGTATTTACTCGATGTAGGACTCTTACCTGTAGCCCAGTGTAGGACACCCTCACATGTAGCCAGTGTAGGGCACCCTTGTATTTACCTGATGTAGGACACCCTATGTAGCCCAGTGTACAATACTCTTACCTGTAGCCCAGTGTAGGACACCCTTGTATTTACCCGATGTAGGACACCCATACATGTAGCCCAGTGTAGGACACCCTTGTATTTACCCGATGTAGGACACCCTTACCTGTAGCCCAGTGTAGGACACCCTTACCTGTAGCCCAGTTTAGGACACTCTTACCTGTAGCCCAGTGTAGGTCACCCTTGTATTTACCTGATGTAGGACACCCTTACATGGAGCCCAGTGTAGGACATCCTTACATGTAGCCGAGAGCAGGACATCCTCACACATAGCCAGTGTAGGGCACCCTTGTATTTACCCGATGTAGGACACCCTCACATGTAGCCCAATGTAGGACACCCTCGCATGTACCCCACTGGAGCACACCCCTGTATTAACCCGATGGAGGATACCCCTACATGTAGCCCAGTGTAGGACACTTTTAAATGTACCCCAGTGGAGCACACCCCTGTATTTACCCGATGTAGGACGCTCCTATATTTATCCCAGTGTACGACACCCTTACATGAAGTCCAGAGTAGGACACCCTCACATGTAGCCCAGGGTAGGACACCCTCACATGTAGCCAGTGTAGGTCACCCTTGTATTTACCCTATGTAGGACACCCTTATATTTAGCCCAGTGTAGGACTCTCTTACCTGTAGCCCAGTGTAGGGCACCCTTGTATTTACCTGATGTAGGACACCCTTACATGTCACCCAATGTAGGACATCCTTACATGTCACCCAATGTAGGACACCCTTACATGTAGCCCAATGAAGGACTCCCTCGCATGTACCCCACTTAAGCACACCCCTGTATTTACCCGATGAAGGACATCCCTACATGTACCCCAGTGTAGGACACCCTCACATGGAGCCCAGTGTAGGTCACCCTCACATGTAGCCCATTGTAGGACAACCTCACATGTAGCCCAGGGTAGGACATCCTTACATGTCACCCAATGTAGGACACCCTTACATGTCACCTAGTGTAAGACACCCTTACATGTAGCCCAGTGAAGGACACCCTCGCATGTACCCCAGTTAAGCACACCCCTGTATTTACCCGATGGAGGACACTCCTACATTTAGACCAGTGTAGGACACCCTCACATGTAGCCCAGGGTAGGACACCCTTACATGTCATCCAATGTAGGACACCCTTACATGTCACCCAGTGTAAGACACCCTTACATGTAGCCCAGTGAAGGACACCCTCGCATGAACCCAGTTAAGCACACCCCTGTATTACCCGATGAAGGATATCTCTACATGTACCCCAGTTAAGCTCACCCTTGCATTTACCCGATGGAGGACACTCTCACATGTAGCCAAGGGTAGGACACCCTTACATGTAGCCCAGTGAAGGACACCCTTGCATGTACCACACTGGAGCACACCCCTGTATTTACCCAATGGTGGATACCCCTACATGTACCCCAGTTAAGCTCACCCTTGCATTTACCCGATGGAGGACACTCCTACATTTAACCCAGTGTAGGACACCCTCGCATGTAGCCAAGGGTAGGACACTCTTACCTGTAGCCCAGTGTAGGGCACCTTTGCATTCACCCGATGTAGGACACCCTCACATGTAGCCCAATGTAGGACACCCTCGCATGTACCCCACTGGAGCACACCCCTGTATTAACCCGATGGAGGATACCCCTACATGTAGCCCAGTGTAGGACACTTTTAGATGTACCCCAGTGGAGCACACCCCTGTATTTACCCGATGTAGGACGCTCCTATATTTATCCCAGTGTACGACACCCTTACATGAAGCCCAGTGAAGGACACCCTCGCATGAACCCAGTTAAGCACACCCCTGTATAACCCGATGAAGGATACCCCTACATGTACCCCAGTTAAGCTCACCCTTGCATTTACCCGATGGAGGACACTCCTACATTTAACCCAGTGTAGGACACCCTCACATGTAGCCAAGGGTAGGACACCCTTACATGTAGCCCAGTGAAGGACACCCTCGCATGTACCCCACTGGAGCACACCCCTGTATTTACCCAATGGTGGATACCTCTACATGTACCCCAGTTAAGCTCACCCTTGCATTTACCCGATGGAGGACACTCCTACATTTAACCCAGTGTAGGACACCCTCGCATGTAGCCAAGGGTAGGACACCCTTACATGTGGCCCAGTGTAGGACACCCTTGCATTTCCCGATGTAGGACACCCTTACATGTAGACCAATGTAGGACACCTTTACATGTACTTACATACAAATACTTCTATAGCGCCAGAATCCGATGTAATCGCCCAAAGGCGCTCTGAGTCCACGCTGGAGCTAAAGGTAAACTTTGGTAAAAAGATGAGTCTTTAACTGGCTTTTGAAAGATGCAAGTTCAGTCAGTGATCGAAGTTCTTGTGGTAAATTTTTCCAGAGTTTTGCACCATTTGAAGAGAATGCTCGGTCACCAAAAGACTTTGTTCTTGTACATTGAATTTGCAGAAGAGTTTGGTCACTGGAGCAAAGAGATCGGGTTGGCACATAGCGTTTTACAAGTTGTGAAAGATACCCTGGAGCCAGTCCATGGATGCATTTAAAAACAAGAAGCAATACTTTGTATTGGATTCTGAATTTGATTGGGAGCCAATGGAGATTTTTCATGACAGGGGTAATGTGGTCAATTTTCTTTGTTCTGCTGATCAATCTTGCGGCTGAATTCTGGACTCTCTGTAGTTTGTGTAGCACATGATTTGGAATACCACTGAGCAACGAGTTGCACTAATCAATGCGTGATGTTACATACACCTGCACCAGAGCACTCGTTGTTTTCTCGTCAAGGTACTCACGTATCAGGCCGATATTCCGATTATGGAAATAAGCGCTGCGACAAACACTGTTGACATGTGGTTCCATGCAGAGAGATGAGTCAAATACTACACCAAGATTCCGGACTCGAGAACTTGGTGTGATTTCACAGTGCCCAATAGAGAAAGTGTGAAGATCAAGTTTTGCCCGGAGCCGCTGGGGTCTGAAAACGATGAGCTCGGTTTCGTCGTCATTTAATTTCAACCAGTGCGTTGACATCCAAATTTTGATACAGTCCTGGACTGCTGTGAATGTGAAAGATGTTGAGGCAGAATCGAGTGGCTTGAAGAACACGTAAACCTGTGTGTCATCCGCATAAAGATGCATACTGAGGTTAAAGGACCTGACAATATCACCAAGAGGGGTTGTGTAGGCTGTTAAAAGCAAAGGGCCCAGAACTGAGCCTTGTGGTACCCCAAACACTAAGTCACTAGATAGTGACATTTGACCTTGTGTAGGACAGGAGCCCAGTGTAGACACCCTTGCATGTACCCCAGTGTAGGACACCCTCGCATGTACCCCAGTGAAGGACACCCTTGCATGTACCCCAGTGTAGGACACCCTTGCATTTCCCGATGTAGGACACCCTTACATGTAGCCCAATGTAGGACACCTTTACATGTCACCCAGTGTAGGGCACCCTCACATGGAGCCCAGTGTAGGACACCCTCACATGTAGCCCAGTGGAGCACACCCCTGTATTTTCCCGATGGAGGACACTCCTCCATGTAGCCCAGTGTAGGACACCCTCACATGTAGCCCAGTGTAGGACACCCTCACATGTAGCCCAGTGTAGGACACCCTCACATGTAGCCCAGTGTAGGACACCCTTGTATTTACCCCAGTGGAGCACATCCTTACATGTAACATCCTCACATCTACCTGTGTGAGACACCCTTACATTAACTCAAACTTGAGACCTTCTCACCTGTGGAACACTTTCAATAACCTCAAAGTGGAACACGTTACATTGTCTTATTGTAGAGTAAGTACATTCAATGATTGAAACAGCATCCTCAGCGATAAGATATTTTTCAGACCCATATCTTTATAAAATACACTTGTACACCTCATATACATAAATGTGATCGATATCCCACTGACTGTCATTATTATGTGCCAATCAACAGATTATTGCAAGAATCTCACAAAGCCGCCGCCGCGTCAGTAGAACACGGAACCTGCCTTCAAAACCCTACCCATCACAACTCAAATCCTGCTCATCCAGTCCACACACAACCCACGCCTCCACCCCAAACCCTCTCATGCCTAACCCACAGGGTTCCAGCCTGCCCCTAATTTCACTCATCCCTACTCGCAGAACTATATTTGTCAAAGGGGGTGAAATCCTTACACACTGTTCTATCCCAAGCTCCACACTCTCGCCCCCTACCCACAGGGAACCAGTCTGCCCCTGATCCTTCCCACAGAACTATACTCATCAAAAGGGGTGACACTACGCCTTGCTTACCGTTATATCCCAAGCCTCTACCCTACACTCTCTCACCCCCTACATACAGGGAACCAGTTTGCCCCTGATCCTTCCCACAGAACTATACTCGTCAAAAGGGGTGACATTACGCCTTGCTTACCGTTATATCCCACACCTCCACCCTACGCTCTCTCAACCCCTACATACAGGGAACCAGTCTGCCCCTGATCCTTCCCACAGAACTATACTCATCAAAAGGGGTGACATTACGCCTTGCTCACTGTTATATCCCAAGCCTCCACCCTACACTCTCTCACCCCCTACATACAGGGACCACTCTGCCCCTGATCCTTCCCACAGAACTATACTCATCAAAAGGGGTGACATTACGCCTTGTTTACCGTTATATCCCAAGCCTCCACCCTACACTCTCTCACCCCCTACATACAGGGAACCAGTCTGCCCCTGATCCTTCCCACAGAACTATACTTGTCAAAAGGGGTGACATTATGCCTTGCTTACCGTTTTATCCCGAGCCTCCACCCTACACTCTCTCACCCCCTACATACAGGGAACCAGTTTGCCCCTGATCCTTCCCACAGAACTATACTCGTCAAAAGGGGTGACATTACTTGCTTACTGCTATATCCCACACCTCCACCCTACACTCTCTCACACCCCTACATACAGGGAACCAGTCTGCCCCTGATCCTTCCCACAGAACTATACTCATCAAAAGGGGTGACATTACGCCTTGCTTACTGTTATATCCCAAGCCTCCACCCTACACTCTCTCACTCCCTACATACAGGGACCACTCTGCCCCTGATCCTCCCCCACAGAACTATACTCACTCCAAAGGGTGACATTACTTTGCTTACTGCTATATCCCACGCCTCCACCCTACACTCTCTCACCCCTACATACAGGGGAACCAGTCTGCCCCTGATCCTTCCCACAGAACTATACTCATCAAAGGGGTGACATTACGCCTTACTGTTATATCCCAAGCCTCCACCCTACACTCTCTCTCACCCCTACATACAGGGACCACTCTGCCCCTGATCCTTCCCACAGAACTATACTGTCAAAGGGGTGACATTACGCCTTGCTTACCGTTATATCCCAAGCCTCCACCCTACACTCTCTCACCCCCTACCCACAGGGACCACTCTGCCCCTGATCCTTCCCACAGAACTATACTCGTCAAAAGGGGTGACATTACGCCTTGCTTACCGTTATATCCCAAGCCTCCACCCTACACTCTCTCACCCCCTACATACAGGGAACCAGTCTGCCCCTGATCCTTCCCACAGAACTATACTCGTCAAAAGGGGTGACATTATGCCTTGCTTACCGTTATATCCCAAGCCTCCACCCTACACTCTCTCACACCCCCTACATACAGGGAACCAGTTTGCCCCTGATCCTTCCCACAGAACTATACTCGTCAAAGGGGTGACATTATGCCTTGCTTACCGTTATATCCCAAGCCTCCACCCTACACTCTCTCACCCCCCTACATACAGGGAACCAGTTTGCCCCTGATCCTTCCCACAGAACTATACTCATCAAAAGGGGTGACATTACGCCTTGCTTACCGTTATATCCCAAGCCTCCACCCTACACTCTCTCACCCCCTACATACAGGGAACCAGTCTGCCCCTGATCCTTCCCACAGAACTATACTCATCAAAGGCAAGTGACATTACGCCTTGCTTACTTACCGTTATATCCCAAGCCTCCACCCTACACTCTCTCACCCCCTACATACAGGGAACCAGTTTGCCCCTGATCCTTCCCACAGAACTATACTCGTCAAGGGGTGACATTACGCCTTGCTTACCGTTATATCCCACGCCTCCACCCTACACTCTCTCACCCCTACATACAGGGAACCAGTCTACCCCTGATCCTCCCCACAGAACTATACTCATCAAAAGGGGTGACATTACGCCTTGCTCACTGTTATATCCCAAGCCTCCACCCTACACTCTCTCACCCCCTACATACAGGGACCACTCTGCCCCTGATCCTTCCCACAGAACTATACTCTCAAAGCAAGTGACATTACTTTGTTTACCGTTATATCCCAAGCCTCCACCCTACACTCTCTCACCCCCTACATACAGGGAACCAGTCTGCCCCTGATCCTTCCCACAGAACTATACTCGTCAAAAGGGGTGACATAACGCCTTGCTTACCGTTTTATCCCACGCCTCCACCCTACACTCTCTCACCCCTACATACAGGGAACCAGTCTGCCCCCTGATCCTTCCCACAGAACTATACTGTCCAAAGCCTCCACCCTACACTCTCTCACCCCTACATACAGGGAACCAGTCTGCCCCTGACATAACGCCTTGCTTACCGTTATATCCCACGCCTCCACCCTACACTCTCTCACCCCCTACCCACAGGGACCTCTCTGCCCTTAACCTTACCCATCCCCTACCAACAGGGACCACTCTGCACTTAACCGTACCCATCCCCTACCAACAGGGACCACTCTGCACTTAACCGTACCCATCCCCTACCAACAGGGACAACTCTGCACTTAACCGTACACATCCCCTACCAACAGGGACCACTCTGCACTTAACCGTACCCATCCCCTACCAACAGGGACCACTCTGCACTTAACCGTACCCACCCCCTACCAACAGGGACCACTCTGCACTTAACTGTACCCATCCCCTACCAACAGTGACCACTCTGCACTTAACCGTACCCACCCCCTACCAACAGGGACCACTCTGCACTTAACTGTACCCATCCCCTACCAACAGGGACCACTCTGCACTTAACTGTACCCATCCCCTACCAACAGGGACCACTCTGCACTTAACTGTACCCACCCCCTACCCACAGGGACAACTCTGCACTTAACTGTACCCTACCCCTACCAACAGAGACCACTCTGCACTTAACTGTACCACTCTGCCCCTACCAACAGGGACCACTCTGCACTTAACTGCACTCCACCCCTACCCACAGGGACCACTCTGCAATTAACCGTACCCACCCCCTACCAACAGGGACCACTCTGCACTTAACCGTACCTACCCCCTACCCACAGGGACCACTCTGCAATTAACCATACCCACAGGGACCACTCTGCAATTAACCATACCCGTCCCCTACCAACAGGGACCACTCTGCACTTAACCATACCCACCCCCTACCAACAGGGACCACTCTGCAATTAACCATACCCACAGGGACCACTCTGCAATTAACCGTACTCACCCCCTACCAACAGGGACCACTCTGCACTTAACCTTACCCACCCCCTACCAACAGGGACACTCTGCGCAAACTGTACCTACCCTCTACCAACAGGGACCACTCTGCACTTAACTGTACCCACCCCCTACCAACAGGGACCACTCTGCACTTAACCGTACCTACCCCCTACCCACAGAACTTTGCATGTCAATAGGGGTGACATTACCCCTTACATACCATTATATCCCAAGCCTCCAACCCCTTGGCACAGAAGGGATGACTAAATGGATTTGGTAGTCAGGTAGATCACATCACATTACATCAGGTCGACTCGAACTCTGTTTAACATTGCAATATAGCCCAGTTCAAGTAGACTGAATTGTTCATTGATTTTGATGCAAGTTATTCAGTATCTGTTGCCACTGTCCTTGACCTGTCAATCCAAATTACCTCGAATTTATGGCATATCTTCGCATAATTGCTTTTTTATGTTTAATTCAAAAGGGACCTTGAATTCATTTCAATATATCAGATCAGCATGCTGGAGTAGCTGAACCATTTCTGTTGAAAATCAACGTCATATGAAGCTTTGTGCAGTGAGCAAGTTCTGGAATTGTATAAAATCATTTAGATATAAGATAAATGTCAAATATGATCTTGAGTGTCAGTCATATGTGTGTGGTATCATTTTTGGGCAGGATACTATGTTTATAATCTCTGTTCCCATCAATTTAAGGGGGAAGGTGGTGTCGTGGTTAGAGCATTCGATCCTCCACATGGGTACCACATGTGAAGCCCATTTCTGGTGTCCCCCTCCGTGACATTGCAGGAATATTGTTAAAAGCAGCATAAAACCATACTCACTTGCTCATTCAAAAGCAATTTAAAGGTGAGCGAGTCATTAAACGTTATCTGGAATTGGAATGTGGATAACTGGCACAAAGTTAATCCATGTAATGAGTAGGAAAGTAGTGTCAGAATACAGACTTTGTAGCGGAATTATTTTTCAGATACATCATAGATTAAATAACTGAATGAGTTGGTCTGAATGTTACTGCAGAAAACTTGTTTGAATTGCGTATGTTAATCCCATATATTTTCAAACCTATTCAAAATATTTGTAAGCTATATTTCTCACACACTTGCAAACCAACAGATATCTATAAAAAAAATAATTTATATGAAAAGATTGAAAAGGCAGGCATTCCATTTGTGAACACAGTGAATATTTCATTGCAGGTCGCACGAAGCTTGAGCCTGTTGCCATCATAATCCTCTCGGTATTAATGGCAGCTGCCTCCCTCCAACTGGTACGAGAGTCCATACAGAAGATCATCTCTATTGCCTCTGGGACGGCTGGACTTCCTGTAGTTGATATTCCTGTCTTTGCCATTGCTGGAGGAACCATTGGTAAGTTGTCCTTAGTTGTCAAATGCAGAGATGCCAACCCCTAAGTGTTGCAAATAGTAGTTTGACCATAAAATTAGTAGTCAACTAAATACTTAAAATCATGATGGATTCTGAAAAAGATAATTGACACTAATCAAGAGTGAAGCATTAATTTCACATACCTCCAACAGCAGATTTCCAAATTATGAGCATTACATTTCTTCTTGTCGAAAATGTATTTTTGTCTATATATCCAAATTTCAATGATTTTTTCAAATTTCGTAGATTTTCTAGTGCAATCATATTGGCGTAGTTTGAGGCTAAAATTTGTAGCAACTACGATAAAATTGTAGAGGTTGGCATCTCTGCAAATAGGGATTACACTAAAGTAAAAGGCTGGAGGTGCCAAGGTTTACCATCATAAACCCAGGTTAAGTTATGAAGTTGCAGGGGATATAGAAACGAGTTCCGTCCTTATGTCCGGCAATCTTTGTCTAAAGCATATCTCTGAAACCATTCGTGATAGCTTAATGAAACTTGGTACACAGGTCAACCATGATCCCTAGATGTGTCATTTGATGGTTAGACCCAGATATAAATTTTCCGGGAGCAGATCTTCCAAACTATACATGTAACATAGCTAGCTTCATCAAACTTGGTACACATATCAAGCATGATTCATACGATACAGATGTGACTATGAGGATGTCACCTTGTTGCATTTCCATGGCAACAAGTAAGGCTTTAACTGAATAAGGTGATAGTGCTCCTTTCTGGAGCAGATCAACTAGTAGACGCAGTAGTTTGCCGTTGCGTTGTTGTTTCTGTAAAGGCATGAGGATTACCTGTGCTGTAGTAATATCTTTACCTGTGTAGCTGTTGGTATTATTGGTACCAGATTTAGTTGTCAGGTTTAAGGTTCACCTGGCTGTGTTGTATTGTGGGTATCAAGCTTTCTTATGTATTTCAGGTGTTAAATTTGTGCTGTGGTTGTTGTGCCGACGTATCCCTTCACCATCAGTACAGACTCTGGCACTTGATCACAGGAACGATGTGTGCTCCAACTTTGTGGCCATAGCATGCGGCTACGTGGGTATGTACTGCTGAATCCTGTATTGAGAGGGTATGAATACACCAAACAAGTCCAGTCTGTGTGTTTCTGAAAAAAGTCACTTCCCAAATTTACCTACAGGCCCTATACAATCAGGTTTTAAGACACCTGTGAATGTCCGGGTTAGAATATTGATCCTCAGTAACCCATGCTTGTCGTAAGAGGCGACTAGGGTGGTCAAATCGCAAATTGCACAAATCGATGCTCATGCTGTTGATCACTGGATTGTCTGGTCCAGACTCGATTATTTACAGACCGCCGGAATATTGCTGAGTGCGGCGTAAAACTAGACTTACTCACATAAGTATATTGCCATTAATGACACTGCAAAGATTTGATTTGGTCATAAGGTGACAGCATGAACATTTTTATTATATTATGGTTGGATTGTTTTCAAATTTGGGGACCAATTTTTTTTCAAGAATTAGTTTGTTAATAATAATAATGTGTCGAGGGAAATACAGGATTTTATCAGTCCCGAGTCCTTACGAGATGCATTTATCTAGCCGAATGTTTTTGCTAAATCAAAAGAAAACAATATGCATCAATTTCATTCTCAGTTGCTGTGGCAAAACGTTTCCTTGCTGCCATGTTGACACCAGCTGAACGATTGACCTCAATGCAGCGCACGCTTTTCTCACTTCGCGTGGTCACCGAGGCGTGGCGGGATAATATGACTTTTGTACTCCCTGCCCGCGGATCGTGACGGGTGTACATGGTATTTTATCCGAGTCACGAGAACCAATCAAAACTCGACATTCTTACATGAGGCTGGATAATAATATTGGTTAAAGAAAAGGAGCATTGCAAAGTTCTGTCCATTGCAGGATCGGCCGAGTTGAACAAACTGTCTGGAATTTCGGGCCTGAGTTATGTGGATCCGGCTGGCGCCATTCTCATCAGCTTGTACATTGTCTACAACTGGTGGCAGACTGGGGCAGGTAACACATGATTGATCTTGACTTAATACTGCTTGTATTTCAGGTATTGTCAAGGTGAAAATTGCAGCTGTGTAAATGAGTTCTTGGTGTCATTTTGAGGAGTATGCCAGTCACTAATATGATGGGAGGAAATGCTTTCATGAAATCAGAGCATGGCTATGTGCTGAGAATCTGGTCATTCGCCCATTTCTGTTATAAAATCTCACTTGCATTGTGTATTTCAGAGCAAATCCGACTTCTGACAGGCTACACGGCACAGCCCGAGTTTCTAAGCAAGTTGACATGGATCTGCATGAATCACCATAAAAAAATATTGCACATCGACACGGTGAGTGGGTGTATCCAAATAGTATTTAATAATGATAGCAGTGAACTGGAGGCCTCTTGTAAGGTTATTAGAATGTCTGGTCAAGACTGCCGTTAAACAGCATTGAAGTTCCTTGTGTTCTCACCCCATTTTTACACAGCTATGGCTTTTTTTTTTCTAGGTGAGGGCATTTCATTTCGGCAACAATTTCTTGGTCGAGGTTGACATTGTGCTTCCAGAAGCGATGTCAATGAAAGAGGCTCATGACATAGGTGAGCCACTCCAGCTGAAGTTGGAGTCGTTGCCAGAAGTGGAGAGAGCATTTGTACACTTGGACTATGAATATACACACAACCCAAAATCTGAGCACAAGATCGTTTGACATTTAGGGCTACCTATGTGCCCCCCTTCAAGATCAAAACTAGGCAAAGCATTCACATTCCGTTCATTCATGAAAAAAGGAAGAAACTACCAATCCCTGCAGTTATAGAATATAGAAATGAATGTCTCTCCGCTTGCCTGAAAAGATCATTTTGGAAGGTGCACCTTTCAACTGGGCAAAGCAGTCACAGCAGAAAAACTGTTCTGAGTAAAATTGTGAAGGGGAGATGATTGTCAGACCTTCCTGTAATGATTTAGACAGAGGCATTAAAGTACTGTCGGAAATAGAAAAAAACTGTTACTCTGTATCCCTAAAATTTACACATCAGCCTAACTGGGCATAATAGGATATCCAGAAAAGCATGTTTACTCGTAAAATCAGGCAAAAAATATGTCTCTACTGATTATCTAATCTTGGCTGTAACACCCAACAGTACTTTAGCATTGTGTCCAGCTTCTTCCACGGGCGAGTAATAAAGAAATGAATGTTATCACAAATGGGAGCTCCACAGGTGACCTGTATCCATATCACGGAATAAAAGGACAAAGATGTATGTGCATTTCTTTTATTCTTGAGCTGCTTTGTACATTCTGCCTCAATAATCTCATTTCATTAATTGGTCTTTGCAGAGTCAGCTATCACAAATATATACTGATCATGTATCATGCTGCACTGAATGTATAACAAACTTCTTAAGCATTAAAAAAATGTGATGTGCAACAATATAAAAACAAGTAACAAGCTCATTGCAACAAAACTATTCAACACAGCATCGTCCCTTTGTAATGCCATCTCATAATAACAAACAAAAATCTGGTACTTATGCATCGTAAAGGGTTCGTGCTGTTTCTTAGCACCTTAAATATAGCAAGCAAGCAAGCAGTCAACTGATGAGTTTGCTGGGTCCGGCGCTACCAGTTCCACACCAGCTTACCGTCAGATGAGAGGCTGACTTGTTGCGTAGCTACGATCTCCAGAGCCTGGGGAAATGCCTTGTGCTCTTTCCGCTTCACCCTTTCTGACAGACTCGTCTCCGTGTCACCAGGATACACAGGCACCGATTCCTGGACAAGGATAGCTCCAGCATCAACCTCCTCCTGGAACATGATTTGTTTACTGTTTAGCACTGCACTCAGCTATGTATGCCAAGAGAGAGGTACGAGTCGCCATCCAGCTTGCCGGAATGACACGAGTAGTTACAAATGTCCAGCAACTGTACTTACAGCCACAAAGTGCACAGAACATCCAGAGATCCTGACCCCTGAAGCAAGCACCTGCTTGTGTGCATCTGACCCCTTGAAGCTGGGCAGCAAGGAGGGGTGGACATTCAACATACGCCCAGTCCACTTCCTGACAAATCCACCTGGAACAAGTACCGTAAACATAAAAACCACCTACCCTTCAGTGCCTCTTGTGCGGAGTGGATTTGGCAAGATGTGAAATTTCCCCATAATACCAGCACACAAATCCAGTAACATGGAATCACCATGTTTACCTATTCCCTATAAATCCAGGCTGAAATAACCATCACCCAAACCCTGCAATCAGTGTTGACCAACCTGTGAGTATCCTCATGAATCCAGCCAGACATACAATTTCAACTCCTGCTGCTGTTAGCCCCTGGTGTAGAGCCTCATCAAACTCTTCACGACCTTTATAGTCCTTATGACTGATAACCTGTATAATGGAGAAATGCGAGATGAGGCCAAACAATCCAGTGATATCGTGAACAATGACTAGGGGTGAAATGGTATACTGCGGTATTAGTAGAACCAGTGTTTTGCCTTTGGTTTGGTATACTACAACAAACTAATAACAAAATATAGCAACCTAAGGCTAGGGGAGTGATGATGATTTTTTATGGAGAAACATGTACAACATGACGCCATTAAACCAAGATCACCCCTCCTAGCCATAAATTTTGAACAGTCCCTAAGCGGTACAATTACATATGACACGAACTGCCAACCAAGTGACACAGAACCAGTGGGCACCCAGATTTGAACTCATGGTCATGTTTCCTGTGAAGCTAAGGGATTAATTAATTAATTAACCTGTCACTCAAATGAGGTGAGGTGAGGTGAAATTGGGTTTAACGTCGTGCTTGAGAATATTTCGCTCATATGACGATGTGCGTGCGTGTATGTGTATGTGCGGCTGCTTGTACTAGCCCAGACTGAAGCTGTTTTTATAGTGCTAGCCCACTGAGATACCATGCCAGAGTGAAGCATGAATACCCCACTCAGACACAATATACTGACTCCGAGCCGACCAGTCCTTTTTGTACCCATTAATGCAGAGCGCCAGGCAGGGACCAACAAGTACCATATTTTAACGTCTTTTGGTATGACGCGGTCGGGGATCGAACCTGCGACCTTCTGCTCTCCGGGCGGACGCTCTAACCACTACACCACGGAGGCGGTCGTCACTCAAATGAACTGACAGGATAAAACCAAACACACTCAAGGTACAACCGCTGACCTTGGTCTTGATGCCTGCCTTCTCTGCCCTGGAAAGTCCCTGTACCCCTGCCTTGTTAGAGATGACAAGAACGATCTCTGCAGCGCTGCTGTTGGTAACATCGCGAGTGTGGTCAAGCAAAGCCTGCAGGTTTGTGCCTGGAACCAAAGGGATGAAAATAATCCATCAAATTCTTGACATGGTTTTAACAGGTAAATGATTTGAATTACAAGGTACGATAATCTTCAGAGCTATAAATATCTAGGCTTTACATGTCTCTGATGATGATGACTTTTGTTTGGCCCTTTTCAAAACTTCAAGATGTTTTCAGTGACCAGGCTGATTAATGACTCGCCTGACCCGGAGATGAGGACTCCGACACGTCGTCTCCGCGTCACACCTGGTACTTTCCTCCATGATTGCACCAGACTGTCCTCCAGGTGATCGACCCTCACACGTGTCGTTCCCACTAAAGACATTAAAAATAGTTTAGACACTACACACAAGTTGTTGAAAAACCAACTGGGGATTACACATGCATGATCATGATATCTGTAGGGGTGAAATGGTGTGTACGCTCTTCGAGACCATTCATATTTTAATTTTTTTTTATGGATTAGTAAGTACAATGTGAATGACCCCCCTAAAATTTATGTACATAGTAAGTGACACCCCACCCCCATTGCATGTCATGTACAAAATCAGTTCTATCCAGTCATACCAAGCCTATCGGCACCTATTTACAACATGGAAGTAGAATCAATCAAGATCTTCAATTGCTGGGAATTGTGATCCCAGAAGATCATTGGGTCAAGATATAAGCCATGATTCAACAAGCAGTCATCCCTCCGTTAACACTACGAACATGGCAAGTGCTACTCAGTCTGCTAACCTCGGCGCAGGACTTGACGTGCACAGGAAGGTTACAACTAAGACCACTGCAACGGTTCCTGACAAAAACATTTAGACAAGTGGCGTCGGGAAAGTGGTCCAAAACAGAACAGAAACTGCACATCAATCTGCTAGAGATGAAAGCAGTGATCAACGCCTTACAACTATGGTCGAGCTTGCTGAACAACCGACAAGGAACCACAAGATCTCCAAGCCTATTGCAGCTCACATTCCAGTTGTGTCACATACCCGGAGCCAAGAACGTACTGGCAGACGCTCTCTCAAGACCACTACACCCGTCACCTACGGAATGGATGCTCGATCCAGAAGCGTTTCGGAACATAAGGGAAATAGGATTCCCTTGCATAGACCTGTTTGCCACGAGGTTCAACAAACAACTACAGACGTTTGTCTCGCCAGTTCCAGATCCTCAAGCCTGGGCAACAGATGCACTGAGCATGTCGCGGGGAAGGATTAAACGGCTACGCTTTTCCACACCCGATACTACTGCCAAAAGTACTGTTCAAGATCAAACAGACTCAGACGCTACAACTGACTTTGGTCGCGCCCTATTGGCCAGCGAGAGCATGGTTCCCAGACCTAATAGAAGATCTCGGAAACCCAGTAATCAAGTTACCAGATTGGCCGAACCTACTAATACATCCGCACACCAAGGAAGTCCACGGAAACCCAACAGTGTTCCAGTTACACGTGTGGACCGTATCAAAACGTGCTTGAAGAAAAGAGGATACTCCGCCAGGGCAGCCAAAGCAGTAACGCTAACGTTACACAGATTGACTCGTAACCTATACGATGACAAATGGCTGAAGTTTGAGATTTATGCAAGGCGGAAAGGCTTCACAGCAATGATAGCCACTCATCCTCAAGACAATGTTACTGCTAGCGTTAGCCACTGCAGCTCGCATATCGGAGATACATGTGCTGGACTATGGTCGAACCACATTCGACAGAGGGCAACATAATGCAGTTCATCTAGGACTTAGATGGGACTTTATTGCCAAGAACCAGCTACATGGTCAACCAGACAGACAGTTCCACCGCTGTCTACAGTCCTTGGTCCACAGGATATAGAGGACTTATATCTTCAGGGCTCTGACTGGGCACAAGGATATCTTCAAAAGACTGAGACGAGAAGACGAAAATTCAAGCACCTATTCATCCCATTCTGGATTAGAGCCGTTATATTGAGAGCCTATAAAGCAGCAGGACTAGAACCTCCTAGAGCTTCCAACCCACACGAAGTCAGAGCACTGGCGTCAACACTAGCTGCACAGAAATTGCTCTATACCGACAATTATGGAGGGCTGCTTTTGGAAGTCAGACACAATGTTTGCCAACCACTACCTCCGAGACATAGCCACTGAAGACGTCTCAGGCATTCACCAATTTGGGCCTTTCGTTGTAGCACAGCAACTAACGGTTCCTCAAAGGCGCTGAGTTGGAAAATCTCACCCTTTATCACGCTGACTTGTTGATAACTTGTACTAAGGAAAAGTACTAGTTTGAAAGTCGCAACTCATTTATGATAAAGATCTTATCATAATCTATGGGTTGTTATAAGATATGTAGTAATAAGAGAATACTAGTTTATCTGTAGCCACATGAATCAACATGATTCAACTTGTCTGAGATTGAAGTAAGGCAAGAAAGGCCAATACACCAAGGGATTACATACATGACACAAGGCCCAATGAACCAGAGGGAAACAATTCAGAATATTTATATGCCACTTTTACCAATATTCCAGCAATATCATAATGGAAGACAGACAATTGAGTGAGTGATTGAGTATGGTTTTATGCTGCTTTAAGCAATATTCCAGCAATATCACAGTGGTATACACGAGAAATGGGCTTCACACATGGTTCGATTCCCCACATGGGTACAAAGGTCTTTGATATGGGCAAACACTTTAACCACAAGCTACCCCCACCAACACAATTAACCGAAGGTGAAAGTCAATATGCAATTGGGTACAAGATATATGCCTTGAACCATAAACAATTTAACTGTCTCAATCAATTATGTAGAGATACTCCCCCTTAGCAGTCTTCATTTGAAATCATATAAGGGTGGAGACGAATATGGTTAATGGATACATGGTTGCTCAAAGACATCTTAAATGTGTCTTCAAGTCTAGTATGATTTACCCTTATACTGTCGGACTGATCCGATGATGTTGGCCTGTTCTCCAGCTGCTCTCAACAAACTGACAACTTCTGCAGACTGTGATGCCGTCACAATGAGGACTCCCCCAAGTCCACAGTTGAAAGTACGAGCCATCTCTGTGCTGGATATTCGTCCCTGGACAGATAACAAACAGCTGAAGTACATATTATTTCTGGTTGTTGTTTAATGCCAATCTGAGAATTTTGCGGATTATTTGACATCGAGCATTTGATCTATGCAGTTCTGATCGCAGTTACCTTTTATGACAATCATAGGTTACTGAAGATCGATTCTAAGGGACCATTCATAATTTATGGCTAGGGGTGATGATGATGATGATGATGATTTTAAGAGGGGTCACCCATTTTGTTCTGGGGAGGTGTTATCAATTTTGTACATAAATTTTGGGGGGGGGTCATTTACATTGTACGTGCTTCTCCATAAAAATCATCAAGGGTCTAGAACTGAATTAAGAGTCTTCCACAGGACTAGTGTAACCTTATCTCACTTGAAATCAGGTTTTGTAGCTAGTCATCTTTCAACAAGACAAAAATGTTATGTTTTCAATTTGTCAATTATTGTAATTGGGTAGCTAAATGAAATGAGAACTGATCCTCAAATGGTATGGTATTATTACTATATTTTTTCTCACTGCCAAACTTAGAACATGAAAATTACTTTCACTTATTGCCTCAATGTTTCATATGCATACATTGCCCAACCATACATCCATGCTTTGTATGAAACACATTTAAAGCATCCTGCCAACATTACTTTAACATTTCTGTGTTTGCTGTGAAAAACAAATCCTAGATTGTACTTCACAGGTTATATTTGCAAAAGTGTTTTACTGTTGGCATACATTCTTTGAAAATTAACTGAACAAATTGTTTTGGAGCAGCAATTTCAATGCCAGTTATAAGAAATATTAAATCTGAAATGTATGTTTAATTTTATTCTATGGGTCCTGTGAATTTTCAATGTGTCAGACAGACATCTGAAACTAGCAGGACCCAATGTCCTGTTACCTTGAAACACCTTTCGTGAACACTGAATGAAAGAGTACATTTCAAATACAAAAATGAAGTAAACACACACAAACTTCAACATTGAAACTGTCAACTAAGAAGATAAGCAAGAATGGGCTTAGAAATCAAAATTTAAAACCACACATGCACATGATAACCAAATGCAAACACTCCAAACAATTACCATCTCTGACAGCCAACCAAATATCGGCAGTATGTTCCAGGATTTGGCATCCAGAGTGACACCAAGGTCATCAGGAAGTATCCGGGGAATATTCTCCGTTAATCCACCACCAGTGATGTGAGCAAAGGCTTTGACCTTGCCCTCTCTCATCAAGGGCAGCACGCTCTTCACATATATCTTGGTGGGCGTCAGCAAGTCTTCACCTGAATAAAGGACAGACATCATTAGCATGTCACATGTTTCTGGTTTCACACTGCAATAAAATATTGCACTGTATCACTATGGTCCAAAACTTGTCAGACCAGTGGTTGATAGCATGATAATTTCCAAATCACCAGAGTGCAATGTCACAAGCCTGGCAAAGCTTGACAGCCTGACAAAGCCAGATAGCATGACAAAGCTAGACAGCCTGGCAAAGCTTGAGAGCCTGATAAAGCTAGACAGCCTGACAAAGCCAGATAGCGTGACAAAGCCAGACAGCCTGACAAAGCTGGAGAGCGTGACAACCAGATAATAAGTAGATTTAATCGTTGTTTCCTTCCACTCAGCGATACTCCAGCTAAATGACATGTCAGTAAATTGTCCACTCCTGACCAGACAATCAACTGATTGATCTCAAGAACATTTATCTACACAAATGGGATACAATGTATTTACTGAGGCAGGAAGCTTAAATACCCAAACAATAGAATGTAAGAACATTGTAATGGTAGGGTTATTTTTTTTAGTAGAAATTAGGATTGTTTTTGGGTGGGGACCGGTTAGGCATAGTCTGGGCTAAAAATAACACACCAGGCTTAGCCTTCAGTGGGCTGGTCCATTTAGCTCTTGAGGGGTAAGGATCCGCAAGGCAAGTGCTCTCAAGAATGTTCTATCTCAGAGGTTTAGCCCAGTTGAGCGAGAGTCAGTTTACAGATGTGAGTTTCGAAACAGGACTCGGTGGAAAGGTGAAAGTATAACTGATTTTGGTTATGGTTTGAGATGATTAGCTTGTAAGGCTTTTCCTGTTATTCCTCACTCTGCCAGGGAACTGTATATTGTGGATCAGTTTATTCAAGGGTTAGCCAATAGAGAGATGAGTAGGCATGTGCAGTTTCATCATCCCAATTGTTTGGAGAATGCTATATCTTTTGCTGAGGAATCTGAGGCATTTGAATGTATACCAGTCTGAGAAAATAAACCAAAGTGGAAGAAACCAACTGTTAGAGCAGTAACTACACCTGTCACTAATGAAAAGAATGAGATCTCTGAGCTGACCAGTGCTGTGAAAGCTTGTCTTGAAAAGCTGACAGCCCAGCCATCGAACCTTCCACAAAAGACTAGGAAGACAGGGAAATCAAAGCCTAGGTGTTATATTTGTGATTCCAGAGATCATCTTTGTGCCAAATGCCCACATAGAAAGGTTAGCTCAAATCCTGCAGAAGTGGAGAAGGAAAACTAGATAGGGCTGCGCTTAAGGCCAAAAGTTCGGTCCAACATAGGGATAGGGACAGGCCAAAAGTTAGTAGTTATAAACTAAAAACCAAATGTTTTTGTGTGCCAATCAATGTAGAGGGAAATGAGGTAAACATGTTGATAGATTCTGGTTCACCTGTTTGTTTGTTGCCTAAAAGAGTTTTCAGACAGTTGGGTTTTAGTCGGTCATTGTTGGAGAAGACTGTTATAGATTGCTCTGTGTTGACTGGTCATGACTTACCTATTATTGGATCTTTGTTGTTGGATTTCTGGATTGGGGAACAAGATTTTCAACAGAGAATATTTGTGGTAGACATTGGTGATTCCACAGGAATTTTGGGTATGGATTTTCAGAATGAGTATGATGTTCATGCTCGTGCTGCTCATGGGGTTGTATATATGGGACAAGATGTAATTTATTCTATAGAACAAGCAAGGACAGTTTGTGCAAGGGTCAAAGTGACTGAAAAAATCACTGTTAAACCCGCATCTGAAATTTCTGGAAAGAAACCACATGAAGATATGATTGCAGAATCTTACAAATATTTTGCTAGAAAAGGATTACTAATTGTAAGATCCATGATTGATGCATCAGAAGGTAAAACAGTAGTGTCTGTGGTAAACATTACAGATAGACCTATAAAGATTGCAAAACACACTGCCATAGCTAGCGTCGAGGCAATTGAGGAGCTGAATTTTACAGAATCTGAGTCTAATTGTGAGGCTAGTGAGTTACCTTCTCATTTGGAACTATTGGTAGATAACTCAGATTTACCGTCTGATCAGAGGCAGGAACTGAGAACATTTCTGTTAAAAAATCAATCTGTCTTTATGGGTCCTGATGGTCAGCTGGGTAGAACAAAGGTAGTCAAACATGAAATAGATACTGGGAGTGCCAGGACTATCAAATTACCACCTCGTAGGTTACCTTTACATCAGCGGGATATTGCAGAGAAAGAAATTTCTCGCATGTTGGCAGAAGACATCATAGAACCGAGCAACAGTCCTTGGGCCTCTCCCAATTTTATTTGTGAATAAAAAAGATGGTTCCATAAGATTTTGTGTTGATTATCGTCGAGTAAACGCTGTTACCATTAAAGATGCGTACCCTCTACCATTGATTCATGAATCCATAGATGCATTAGCTGGTTCACAATGGTTCTGAACTCTGGACTTAGCTTCTGGCTATTGGCAGTGTGAATTGAAAAAGGCTGATAAGATCAAAACTGCATTTGCTACTCACAAAGGGCTTTATCAGTTTAAAGTTCTTCCTTTCGGACTTTGTAATGCACCGGCAACATTTGAACACCTGATGGAGTTGGTTCTTTGAGGATTATTGTGGGAAAAGGCTCTATGTTACATAGATGACATCATTGTATTTGGAAAATCCTTTGAAGTTTACCATCAGATCTGATCATGCATCTCTTACATGGCTAAAGAACTCGTTGCTCGTTGGATTTGTTCTAGACATCTATGACTATGAATTGAAACACAGGAGAGGTTCTCAGCATCAAAATGCTGATGCAATGTCAAGGAAACCTCAAAGAAAGTGTAAAAACATTGATTGCTCAGAATGTCATGTAACAAGTGAAAAAGACTGTAATCACCCTGTTGCTCAAGTTACAATTCACTCCCCAGACGTTGATGATAGTGATGATGATTGTACTGGTACAGTTAATGAAAACATTGTCAGTAACTGGCTTGAGACTTGGGACAAACATTCCATAGAACAGTGGCAGAATGAGGATGAGACTTTGAAGGTTTTTATAGCATTAAAACAAAGATGTCAGGAAAAACCATATAATGTGCTTGTGGCAAACTGTTTTCAGCAGGTCAGGACCATGTGGGGATTATGGGAATCTCTTGAGATAATTGACAGTCTTGTACTTTATGGGTGATGTAAGATACTTGCTGGTTGCTCCAGTTGCGATAAGGAAGGAGATCATGCACATGCTTCATGACAACATAACATCAGGGCATTTAGGCAGGGAGAAAACTTTGAAAGCTGTTAAAAGAAGATTCTTTTGGCCAGGAATGACAGCAGAAATAACTTTGTGGTGTAGACAATGTATTGTTTGTGCCCAAAGGAAACCAGGTCCAGGGAAAGCAAGATCTGAGTTGAAACAAACATTGGGGCACCTTTTGATAGGATTGCACTTGATGTGGTTGGACCATTGCCTACAACTGAGAATGGGAACGGGAACGAATATATTCTAGTAGTTGGACATTATTATACAAAATGGAAAGATGCATTTGCTATTCAAAATCACACAGCATTAACGGTTGCAGATAAAGTGGTCACTGAGATTGTTTGTCTATTTGGATGTCCAATGCAAATACACACAGATCAAGGGAGAGAATTTGAATCACTGCTGTTTTCTGAAATGTGTTCCAAACTGGGCGTAGAAAAACTCGTACAACTCCATATCGACCGCAATCAGATGGATTGGTTGAACGGTTTAACAGAACCCTGAAGCAAATGTTAAGTTCGTTTGCTAATAGCCACCGAAATAACTGGGATGATCATCTACCTCAAGTTCTAAATAGATCTTCAGTTCATGAAAGTACTGGATGTTCTCCATACCTCCTTTTATTTGGACGTGAAATATCTTGCCCTCTGGACATTATGGTGGAACCGCCTCTGTTGCAACCTGACTTGTGTCCTGTTGCTTATGTGCAATGGCTACAGCACAGCATGAACCACAGCTTTTCTTTTGCGCAACAGCATTTGGGAGTCGCTGCCTCCAGACAAAAGAAATACTATGATCGAGGTTTAAAACCTCGTAGTTTTCTTGCTGATGACTTTGTTTGGAGATGGCACTTACCAACTGTCGATTGCCCTTTATCATTAGGATGGATAGGACCATACAAGATTATTAGGAAGAGACTGACGTAACATATCAGATTCAGAGAAGTACTATTGCAAAGCCTATAGTTGTCCATGTAGATCACTGGAAGGCATATGAAGGGAGGACAACTCCTGATGCTTGGCTTGATGAACCTGCAGGTGATAGCTCAGCTGATGAATCCAGTAGTGTGTGCTCCCAACATGAACATCATGTTTCCGATTTGGAAGCTGGTCTTGAGGATATTGGTGTGGATGTTGAGGAAGTCAAACGAACACGTTGTGGACGTACTGTCAGGCCACGCCAAAGATACTCTCCTTAAAATTTTCAGCAAGCTAATTTTGGGCAATGCTTGTATCTGGATAGACCTCTATCTTGTGAGGAGGAAGGGTTGCACGAAGGAGTTCACTGAGAGTAACCATGGCCATGGTTCCATAGGTGACTCAACATAAACAATCACGTAAAGAAACTGAAACAGGTTTCATAAGGGGTATAGCGTTATAGAACTTCGTGTTCAGAAAAAGAAATGCCCGTGACATGATTTCTTGTGTTAAGTCCATCCCTTCCTTACAGATGAGAGACATCTTAGATCTTTGTGTAACTCAGGCAGAGCTTGATGAGCTTGAAGGGGACCGTGACTCTCGACCATGTGATGATTGCAAAGCTGGACCGTTTCCTTCAGCAAGGGCCCGGAGGCGCCATGTGAAAAAGTATCATGCAACATTTGTTCATCTGTTTTCATGTCTAGAATGTGGAAGGAGATTTCGGGCAAGAACAGATCTCCATCGGCACCTGAAGCTCAAGCATAACATCCAAACGAATGAGAAAGAAACAGCAGAGGTAGAGGTCAACCGTCCCCTAACAACTAGAGAATTAGCTCAATTATCAAGGGAGGACATAGCAAAGAAGGCACAGGATCAGCCTTTGATCCCCATGTCTGGGCCTGGGACACCCAGGGACACAGAGGTTAGACCTCTGTTTGATGGAACTGATAAGTGCATCAGTATTGTGCGAAGAATGCCGCCTCTTCCTCCCCTTGTTAATCCCTATGTTCAAGACTACTTCCATCCTGAATATGAGGAGTGGATGTGGTAAATGAAGAAGAGACTTTGAAAAAAGAAAAGCAAAGCAAAACAAATTATCAATCCCGTTGCTTTTGTTTTGTTTGTTGTTGTTGTTTGTTGTTTGTTGTTTGTTGTTGTGTTGTTGTTTTCTCAAAGATCTTAAGAAGGGGGGAATGTAATGGTAGGGTTATTTTTTTTTTAGTAGAAATTAGGCTTGTTTTAGGGTGGGGACAGGTTAGGCATAGGCTGGGCTAAAAATAACACACCAGGCTTAGCCTTCAGTGGGCTGGTCCATTTAGCACTTGAGGGGTAAGGACCCACTAGGCAAGTGCCTAGTATGCTTCTTCCCCATCGTTATGCAATGGGATGGGCCAGTGCATGAGCATCTCATGAGCAGAGGGATCAGTCCACTGAACTTTTCTTTTGTAGGCATTTATTTATTGGGTAATTTTCAGAGCATGTTTTTTATTGGGTAAGAGTTATAGGTTAGGGGTATAAAAGGGCAGATTATTTTTTCCTCTGCACTCTGGGGTCTTACGGAGGCAAGAATGGTGAGAGATTCACTATTGTTTCTGTAGACTAGGCAAACAGAGTTTTAAGTTTCTTAAGTTTTAGTTTAAAGAAGAAATATAGTTTTGGTTAGATAATGTTAGGTAGTTAATTTTTGTTTTATTTTGCAGGGAACATTATTTTGGGGAATTAAGTTGGGATAAGGGGCAATAGTATAGGTATATTTAATAGGGTTTTCACTTTTCACAGGATCCTTCGAGGCATTATTATTTTTGCTGTTTATTTAACTTAGTTTATTGTTGATGTTATGATACATATTAGTTGAGTTAGAAATAAATTTATTTGGTTTGCAAAATCTTGTGTTTGGTTGTCATTATGACTTTAAAACCCTGAATCTGCGGACCTGAGGACCAGAAACAGCATCCTCCTGTTACAACATAGAGTGTATGCCTACTTCCTGTGAGTGAATACGGTTTTACACCGATTTTAGCAATATTCCAGCAATATCATGGCAGGGGATAATAGAACCACCCCTATAAGAACAATAACAGTAAGGACTTTATGCTATATATTTAAACCAGCTTTGGTGATGATGAAGTTAGTGAATGGGTGATTGGGTGTTATACGGCTCTGGGCCCCGTTCCTCAAAGTGAACGTAGCGCTATGACAGTCATAAGTCTATGTTAAAGTATGGGAGTTACAACTGTAGAAGCGCTACAATCGCTTTGAGGAACGGGGGCCCTGAACACTAAATCTTGACATTCAGTTTGATGAATTCCCTTTGTGCTGCCGATCTTTTCCTGTTTGTGTAATCCAGAAAACGAGGTCATTCAAATTAGGATTCGCACCAATGACCATCATGTTTCTGGAAAGCCTAAGTGACGTAACTTGTTCGATAAACCTTCAGAAAACCCACTAACAGCAACTTCTCACCTGAACACTTCCAATTTGGATATAATCTATCATATAGCATATATGGCTAAAATAGTGAGTGAGTGAGTGAGTATGGTTTTACGCTGCTTTTAGCAATATTCCAGCAATAACACAGCAGGCGACACCAGAAATGGGCTTCACTCAATGTACACAATAGAAGGGCTTATCAGCAGAATAAACAGAATTCAAAGATTATGAGCACTCTCACCTAGAGTTTTCCCCGTCTTGAGAGGGGAAGGCATGTCGAAACGCAGATTCTTCCTCTCCACAAGTTTGCGAACCAGACTGAAACCATTGCTATGGATACCAGATGACCCAATTCCAACAATGACATCACCGGCAGCCACTTCATGTATTCGAGGCATCATCTGACCTCGTTCAACAGCACCAACAGCAAAACCAGCGACATCATACTCTCCATTAGTGTACATGCCTGGCATCTCTGCCGTCTCGCCACCTGGTGACAGAGAAAGGTATCACATGACAGGAAGAGGAAGTTGTTCAAATAAAGTATACCGCTCAGTAACAGCGATGACTTAACATAACATCACTGCCACAGGCTAATTAGTAACAGTAAACCGCTCAGTAACAGAGATATTGGATAAATTATCAGTCCATAGAATGACAAACAGACCATCAATGGTAGAGTACATAATACTGCCACAACAGCGAGTGAGTGAGTTTAGTTTCTTTGCCGCATAAAGCAATAACATAAAAGTGATTGGTTTAGTTTTACACCGCTTTTAGCAATATTCCAGCAATATCACATCTGGAGATACCAGAAATGGGCTTTACACATTCTACCAATGTGGGAAATCGAACCCTGGTCTTCGGCTTGACAAGTGAATGCTTTAACCACTAGACTACCCCACAACACAACGGAATAACTACCAAAATATGAAAGAATTTGGTCAGTCTTGTCAGTTGAGTGAATTTTATCGATATTCCAGAAGTATAACAAGACGTTAAAACTTGCTGCTGTGACAAAACATTTACATAGGATGAAAAATAATAGCAAATTTCAAAATGCTTCTCTACTTGCCTACAAGAGCACATCCTGCCTGTCGACACCCTTCTGCAATACCACCAACCACCATCTGCGCGCCACCTCCACGTTCAGACGTCCTGTTGCGAAGTAGTCCAGAAGAAACAGTGGCTCTGCTCCGTGGGCGAGAATGTCATTAACACACATAGCCACCAGGTCAATACCAATACTGTTGTGTACACCCACCATTTCCGCTATCTGTAACAAAACATGGCCACAGAGTCAATACCAATGCTGTATTGTTCACCCATCATCTCCGCTGTAAGGGAAAATTCCGTGAGAGAGGCAAGCCCTTGTAAATTCAAATCTAGTCTGCTCCAGAGTACGGTTGTCAGACATCTGGGAAACCAAGGATGTACTCTGCCAACAAATCTGCCAAGAATCCCATCCCTGCATTGCTCCCCAGCTCAGTTGTAGACCAGAGGACATAGGGTCTTTATCCCCAACTCACCTCCTGTCTTGAAGGTGAGGTGAGGTAAAATTGGGTTTAACGTCGTGCTTGAGAATATTTCGCTCATGACGGATGTGCATGCGTGTGTATGTGTATGTGCGGCTGCTTGTACTAGCCCAGACTGAAGCTGGTTTTATAGTGCCCACTGAGATACCATGCTGTGAAGCATGAATACCCCACTCAGGCACATTATACTGACTCTGAGCCGACCAGTCCTTGTACCCTTTAATGCTGAGCGCCAGACTGGGACCAACAAGTACCATATTTTACCTTCTTTTGGTATGACGCGGTCGGGGATCGAACCCGCGACCTTCCGCACTCCGGGCGGATGCTCTAACCACTACACCACGGAGGCGGTTTCCAGTCTTGAAACAGCACCCGAACCCCATCAGAAGCAGAAACCAGGATAACCGTAATTCCTTGCCATCAGCCTTGATGTTCAAGTGCCACACAGAAACAGAAGCATTGTGCTCCAACTCACCTTCAGCTTCGTCCCTACTCCATCAGTGCCAGACACCAGAATCGGGTCTTTGTAACCTGCAGCAGCCAGGTCAAAGGTGGCCCCAAACATTCCAATATTGGATGTGCATCCTGTGCGAGACGTTGACTTGGCTAGTGGCATGATGGCCTGTACGAGGTCATCACCTGCCTCGATGTCAACACCAGCTTCTTTGTAGCTGAGGCCGTTCTCCACACGAACACTCAAGGATGTAGGGCCCCTAACAGGAAACCATACAGTTCAGCATGCAGCAGTTATGATCAGTGTATCCAGAAACACACATTACAAAAGCAAGGCCTGCCATGAGATTTGGCTGTAATGGGGTTAATTTCAACATTGCTGTTAACACTATTCCAGTTATATCAGTTTAATGTGTAAGTTAAACACAGAGCGGCACAGACGGTGTTGTTTACCACTTAGCTGAAACCTTTTAGCACAGGTACGGTTCTACTTTGAGTGAGAGAGTTTGGTTTTACGCCGCTTTTAGCAATATTCCAGCAATATCATGGCAGGGGACAACAGAAATGGGCTTCACACATTGTACCCATGTTGGGAATCGAACCCAGGTCTTCGGGGTGACAAGCAAACGTCTTAACCACTTGGCTTCCCCTCCCTGTTTCTGGTTATATCTATACCATGCTATTTTTAACATTATCACATTTGAACCTTTTGAATACACATGATAATTTAAACAAGACGTCTTCTAAACTTTTGGTTCTGTTCCAGTGGAATACATTCCAAGACTGTTGCTAGATGAAATAGGAAATTTCCCATGCAGGAATTTTCAAGGTTAATTGCTTCTGGACATGTTTCTTTCATAATCATCAGTGCTTGAAATGATCGCGTTTAGTTTTATGCCACACTCAGCAATATTCCAGCTATATGGCAGCGGTCTGTAAATATCGAAGTCTGGACCAGACAATCCCTTGATCAACAGCATGAGCATCGAATCCTCGCAAACCGATGACATGTGTCAACCAAGTCCAGCAAAGCCTGACCACCTGATCCGTTAGTCGCCTCTTCACGATAAAGCATAGTCACCTTTGTGGCAAGCGATGGGCTTTGAGACCTATTCTACCCGGATCTCACAATCACTGCAATAGTGTTCCTGGTCCATTCTCACCTGTGTCTTAACAACTGCAAATTTTGTACATACATTTATGCATAACACTAAAGAACCTTGTTTCTGACTAACCTGTCACAAACACAGAGATGGGATGGCCTATATGGATATCATTACATCACAACATGTCGCTTTGATAGCACTTGCTTGTCACATACATGTTTTTGTATGGTTTTGTACTGAATAATTAGTGTATTGAGAATCATGATATTAATGCCAGCATTCAATGTGAAAATGTGAATGTAACTGACCTTCATTAATGTAGTGACCACTTTTCACCTGGATATACTACAGTATATGGTCAGGTCAAGTTCACTGTACATTGTTTGAACAGTGCTCACAATGTAAATGTCACTGACTGAATTACAAGAATTAAAGATAAGTATATGAGCGAGTGAGTTGGGTCTTATGCCACTTTTAGCAACATTTCAGCAATATCACGGTGTGGGACACCAGAAATAGCCTTCACACATTGTACCCATGAGGGGAATCAAACCCGGGTCTTCAGCATTGACGGCCACAATCAACGTATTCAGCAATTAAATACTGGCAGAAAGTCAGAAGCTAGCCTGGAATGCTTTAACCACCAGACTACCTTAACGCCCGCAAGTACAAGCAAGGCCATGCACACTTACCGTGCATGTGTGTTGTTTAATGCCACAATCAGCAATATTCCAGCAATTAAATACTGGCAGAAAGTCAAGAAGCAAGTCAGGAGGACCAGCCAGCCTGACCGCTCAATCCAGTTAGTCGCCTTTTACAACAAGCATAGGTTGCTGAAGGCCAATTCTAACCTGGATCTTCACGCATTTACTACCTTGTACAGATCACGTGAATTAAAAGCAGTCATGAATTCATAACACACAGGATCACAGGATTGTGCTAACTCATGTAACACTAGAAACAGGAACAATCTTTACCAGCGACCATCTCATTTAAATATGAGCAACTGGAATCTCCAGCTTTTGATTTAATGTCAAGTAGCTGAAGTTTGTGTTTCACACTGCACTCAACAATATGTGTCATTGCTATTCCTCGACACCTAACACAGGATTGACCAAACAACATTGCTCTGTTCAACACAGCTATTCACTCCATTCTGATGTGTGTTTTTCTAACACTGCTTACTTCAGTGAGTGAGTGAGTGAGTGTGAATGAGTTTAGTTTTTGCTGCTTTTAGCAATATTCCAGCAATAATATCTGGAACACCAGAATTGTGTTTCACATGTTGTACCCATGTTGGGAATCGAATGCTCTAACCACTATACTACACCACCTTCCCCTGAAATTGCTTCTGATTGGAACAGAGATACTCAGATGTCAGATGTTTGGCGTGACAAGCGGCCGGTTTAACCACTAGGCTAGCCCACCGCCCCCTGCTTACCTGAGATCTCCTTCCCCTTCTTGTATGATCCTGGGTAACCCCCGCTGACCACCACAACACCAACAGCCGATTTCTCTGTGTCAAACTCCACGCTCAGGGACCCCATCTTCCCTTCCACACATGCCCGGCAGATGTCCAGCAGGTCAGTCCTCAGCAGTGGCAGGATGGACTGAAACAGGAGCAGCGTCAGTAAGAGATGTTCACATTTATACCAGACAGAGTTTGAGAAAAGGGGATCTAGCTATCATCATTGGACCCTTCAAAATAAAGTAAGTAAGAAGACATGGTCATCAATATTCCCCGCTGCAGTGTTCTGTTCCTATTTGGTTCCTACTTTTTAACTCCATCACGACATTCATATCCTGAAAACACATACCACAATTTAGTTTTCTTATTTATTACGGTTTCTGAGAAAATCTGTCCCCACTGGGGATACCATGCATTAAGTCAAGAAATACATGACAAGTGCCATAACTCTGTAACAAATTGTAACATGGTTTCTGTTTTCCAACTCCATAACATACATATCCTGAAAACAGATGCCAATGTATGGATGGACGGACGGACGGTCGGAGCTGAAACCTATATCCACCTCTGACTTCGTCCCAGGGGATAATAAAATAGTTTAATCAAATAAATACTGACCTGTGTTTCTGGGTCTCCAAACCTACAGTTGAACTCGAGAACCTTGGGGCCAGTGTCTGTGATCATCAGTCCAGCATACAGCACACCTGTATTACATTAAAACGGGTCTTAAACATTCACCTATAATCAGTCTCTTATACACATATGTAACACATAATGACACGCCTGTAACATATACATGTCTGTAACACATCCAGTGTCATGTAAAGAATATCAATCAGAAACAAATGGAAGAGATCATTGCTAGATGCCATAGTCAGTAATATTCCAGGTGGGAAAGGAGGTGACGTTCAATGTGTGCAGCTGCTTGTATCAGTCCATACCCTCTTGAGGCAGACTATCTACAAGCCCAAGTAGGTGGCTCAGTGTGGGGCAGGACCTACCAGTAGTTATTCTCAGAAGAGGATCAGTGTAGGGCAGGACCTGGTTATTCTCGGTAGTGGATCAGTGTAAGGCAGGACCTAGTTATGGTCAGTGTGGGGCAGGACCTAGTTATTCTCAGTAGTGGATCAGTGTGGGGCAGGACCTAGTTATTCTCACCAGTGGATCTGTGAGGGGCAGAACCAAGTTATTCTCACCAGTGGATCAGTGTAGGGCAGGACCTAGTTATTCTCAGTAGTGGATCAGTGTTGGGCAGGACCTAGTTATTCTCAGTAGTGGATCAGTGTGGGGCAGGACCTAGTTATTCTCGGTAGTGGATCGGTGTAGGGTTGACCTAGTTATTCTCAGAAGAGGATCAGTGTGGGGCAGGACCTAGTTATTCTCAGTAGTGGATCAGTGTGGGGCAGGACCTAGTTATTCTCAGAAGAGGATCAGTGTAGGGCAGGACCTAGTTATTCTAATTAGTGGATCAGTGTAGGGCAGGACCCTAGTTATTCTCAGTAGTGGATCAGTGTGGGGCAGGACCTAGTTATTCTCAGTAGTGGATCAGTGTAGGGGCAGGACCTAGTTATTCTCAGAAGAGGATCAGTGTGGGGCAGGACCTGGTTATTCTCGGTAGTGGATCAGTGTAGGGCAGGACCTAGTTATTCTCAGAAGAGGATCAGTGTGGGGCAGGACCTAGTTATTCTCAGTAGTGGATCAGTGTAGGGGCAGGACCTGGTTATTCTTAATAGTGGATTGGTGTAGGGCAGGACCTAGTTATTCTCAGTAGTGGATCAGTGTAGGGGCAGGACCTGGTTATTCTCAGTAGTGGATCAGTGTGGCAGGCAGGACCTAGTTATTCTCAGTAGTGGATCAGTGTAGGGGCAGGACCTGGTTATTCTCAGTGGATCAGTGTAAGGCAGGATCAGTCAGTGTGGGGCAGGACCTAGTTATTCTCAGTAGTGGATCAGTGTGGGGCAGGACCTAGTTATTCTCAATAGTGGATCAGTGTAGGGCAGGGACCTAGTTATTCTCAGTAGTGGATCAGTGTAGGGGCAGGACCTAGTTATTCTCAGTAGTGGATCAGTGTGGGGCAGGACCTAGTTATTCTCAGTAGTGGATCAGTGTGGGGCAGGACCTAGTTATTCTTAGTAGTGGATCAGTGTAGGGGCAGGACCTAGTTATTCTCAGTAGTGGATCAGTGTAGGGCAGGACCTAGTTATTCTCAGTAGTGGATCAGTGTAGGGCAGGACCTAGTTATTCTCAGTAGTGGATCAGTGTTGGGCAGGACCTAGTTATTCTCAGTAGTGGATCAGTGTTGGGCAGGACCTAGTTATTCTCAGTAGTGGATCAGTGTAGGGGCAGGACCTAGTTATTCAGTAGTGATGGGGCAGGGCACCTAGTGGATCAGTAGTGGATCAGTGTAGGGGGCAGGACCTAGTTATTCTCAGTAGTGGATCAGTGAGGGGCAGAACCAAGTTATTCTCACCAGTGGATCAGTGTAGGGCAGGACCTAGTTATTCTCAGTAGTGGATCAGTGTTGGGCAGGACCTAGTTATTCTCAGTAGTGGATCAGTGTGGGGCAGGACCTAGTTATGGTCAGTGTGGGGCAGGACCTAGTTATTCTCAGTAGTGGATCAGTGTGGGGCAGGACCTAGTTATTCTCAGTAGTGGATCAGTGTGGGGCAGGACCTAGTTATTCTCACCAGTGGATCAGTGTAGGGCAGGACCTAGTTATTCTCAGTAGTGGATCAGTGTGGGGCAGGACCTAGTTATTCTTAGGTAGTGGATTCAGTGTAGGGGGCAGGACCTAGTTATTCTCGAAGTAGTGGATCAGTGTAGGGGCAGGACCTAGTTATTCTCAGTAGTGGATCAGTGTAGGGGCAGGACCTAGTATTCTAGTGGATCAGTGTAGGGGCAGGACCTAGTTATTCTTAATAGTGGATCAGTGTGGGGCAGGACCTAGTTATTCTCAATAGTGGATCAGTGTAGGGAGGCAGGACCTAGTTATTCTCAATAGTGGATCAGTGTAGGGCAGGACCTAGTTATTCTCAGTAGTGGATCAGTGTTGGGGCAGGACCTAGTTATTCTCAGTAGTGGATCAGTGTGGGGCAGGACCTAGTTATTCTTAATAGTGGTTAGTGTAGGGGCAGGACCTAGTTATTCTCGGTAGTGGATCAGTGTAGGGCAGACCTAGTTATTCCTAGTGGATGGTCAGTGTTGAGGGGCAGGACCTAGTTATTCTTAATAGTGGATCAGTGTAGGGGCAGGACCTAGTTATTCTCAATAGTGGATCAGTGCAGGGCAGAACCAAGTTATTCTCAATAGTGGATCAGTGTGGGGCAGGACCTAGTTATTCTTAATAGTGGATCAGTGTAGGGGCAGGACCTAGTTATTCTTAATAGTGGATCAGTGTGGGGCAGGACCTGGTTATTCTTAATATGGTCAGTGTGGGGCAGGACCTAGTTATTCTTAATAGTGGATCAGTGTGGGGCAGGACCTAGTTATTCTCAGTAGTGGATCAGTGTAGGGGCAGGACCTAGTTATTCTTAATAGTGGATCAGTGAGGGGCAGGACCTAGTTATTCTTCACCCAGTGGATCAGTGTAGGGCAGGACCTAGTTATTCTTAATAGTGGATCAGTGTAGGGGCAGGACCTAGTTATTCTTAGTAGTGGATCAGTGTGTGGGGCAGGACCTAGTTATTCTTAGTAGTGGATTAGTGTAGGGCAGGACCTAGTTATTCTCAATAGTGGATTCAGTGTGGGCAGGACCTAGTTATTCTTAGTAGTGGATCAGTGTAGGGGCAGGACCCAGATTAGGTCATAGTTATTCTGGGGGCAGTAGTGGATCTTAGTAGTGGATCAGTGTAGGGCAGGACCTAGTTATTCTTAATAGTGGATTAGTGTGGGGCAGGACCTAGTTATTCTTAGTAGTGGATTCAGTGTAGGGGCAGGACCTAGTTATTCTTAGTAGTGGATCAGTGTAGGGCAGGACCTAGTTATTCTTAACCAGTGGATCAGTGTAGGGGCAGGACCTGGTTATTCTTAATAGTGGATCAGTGTAGGGGCAGGACCTAGTTATTCTTAATAGTGGATTAGTGTAGGGGCAGGACCTAGTTATTTAGTGGACCAGTAGTGGATCAGTGTAGGGCAGGACCTGGTTATTCTTAGTAGTGGATCTAGTTTGGGGCAGGACCTAGTTATTCTCAGTAGTGGATTCAGTGTAGGGCAGGACCTAGTTATTCTTAATAGTGGATTCAGTGTAGGGGCAGGACCTAGTTATTCTCAATAGTGGATCAGTGTAGGGCAGGACCTAGTTATTCTTAATAGTGGATCAGTGTAGGGCAGGACCCTAGTTATTCTCAATAGTGGATCAGTGTGGGGCAGGACCTAGTTATTCTTAATAGTGGATCAGTGTGGGGCAGGACCTAGTTATTCTTAATAGTGGATCAGTGTGGGGCAGGACCTAGTTATTCTTAATAGTGGATCAGTGTAGGGGCAGGACCTAGTTATTCTTAGTAGTGGATTAGTGTAGGGGCAGGACCTGGATTATTCTCAATAGTGGATCAGTGTGAGGCAGGACCTAGTTATTCTCAATAGTGGATCAGTGTAGAGGGCAGGACCTAGTTATTCTTAATAGTGGATCAGTGTGGGGCAGGACCACCTCGACTGGAAGCGATCAGTGTGGGGCATATGTGATCTCCAGAAAACATTATGCTCATAAAATGAACCCAAAACTTGAAATCATATGAATAGGGGCCTGAGGACCCTAGATTATTCTCAGTAGATGGCAATTAGGTGGCTCAGCCAGGCAGGACGACCTGACCCGTTGACTCACCTGGCATGAAAGTGCACATGCCTACGAACTGCTTGCAGGATCTCAAAGATATTATGTGCTTTTCATGTGTGTGACTATGTCTCATGTAGGAGCGGATATCCTACGTGTCTTTCTTTCATAAAGTTGATGTTGAGATATGTAAAGAAGTATGATACCGAGGACCATAGAAGCATGGTAGTATCTAGGTAGTATGACCACCAGAAGAATCGAGCAGGACTAGTTATTCTCAGTAATTTATGATGTGCCATGTACCTCCCATTATAATTTCCCCTAAGGATTATCTCATCTTAGCTGATATCTCTTTCCCACAGGACCTAGTTATTCTCAGTAGTAGGTCAGTGGATCAGTGTAGGGCAGGACCTAGTTATTCTCACCAGTGGATCAGTGTGGGGCAGGACCTGGTTATTCTCAGTAGTGGATCAGTGTAGGGCAGGACCTAGTTATTCTCACCAGTGGATCAGTGTGGGGCAGGACCTAGTTATTCTCAGTGGTGGATCAGTGTGGGGCAGGACCTGGTTATTCTCAGTAGTGGATCAGGGTGGGGCAGGACCTAGTTATTCTCAGTAGTGGATCAGTGTGGGGCAGGACCTAGTTATTCTCAGTGGTGGATCAGTGTGGGGCAGGACCTAGTTATTCTCAGTAGTGGATCAGGACCTAGTTATTCTCAGTAGTGGATCAGTGTGGGGCAGGACCTAGTTATTCTCAGTGGTGGATCAGTGTGGGGCAGGACCTAGTTATTCTCAGTAGTGGATCAGTGTGGGGCAGGATCTGGTTATTCTCACCAGTGGATCAGTGTGGGGCAGGACCTGGTTATTCTCAGTAGTGGATCAGTGTGGGGCAGGACCTGGTTATTTTTAATAGTGGGGCAGGACATGGTTATTCTCACCAGTGGATCAGTGTGGGGCAGGACCTAGTTATTCTCACCAGTCGATCAGTTTTGGGCAGGACCTGGTTATTTTTAATAGTGGATCAGTGTGGGACAGGACCTAAAGTACTGTCGGAAATAAAAAAACAACTGTTTTTAGGCTGTTACTCAGTATCCCTAACATTAACACACTTGCAAATAGGATATGTCGAAATAACCCACTTCGGCCTAACTGGGCGTTCAGTGGGATGCATATGACGATATCCAGAAAAGCATGTTTGCTCATAAAATCGGGCAAAACTTAGAAAAAATATGAATAGTTGCTGAAAACAGTAGATCAGACTATAGATGGCAATTAGGTCGCTCAGCCAGGTATGACGACGGACCGTTGACTCACCTGGCATGAAATGCACATGCTGCCTACAGGCACAACGGGTCATCTCAAAGATATTTTGTGCTTTTTCATGTGTGTTGACTATGTCTCATCTATTAATTAATATCTTACGTGTCTTTCTTTCATAAAGTTTATGTTGAGATATGTAAAAGAGTATGATACCCGAAAACCATAGAAACGCATGGTAGTATATAGGTGGCATGACCACCAGAAGATCGATAGGACTGGATACTATTTGTAAATTGTTATGATGTGCCATGTACCTCCCCATTATAATTTCCCTAAAGGATTATCTCATCTTAGCTGATATCTCTTTCCCCCAGCTCGACCCCAGGTTTGGCTTTTGTGACGACCCCTCCTATCTGTTTCTTTTTATAGTGACAGTGAGACTGCATGGTAGCTAGTAGCTACATTCTTAATAGTTTCAGCATAAAAGTTATTATTTTTTACGTCAGCTATCGTTTATAATGAATCTATGTCTAATTTCAAATTGGGCATTTAAAAAGTGTCCTTTGTAATACAATATCGTCACACACTAATTTGCATAAAGTCATCGTCTGTTCCAAGGACCTAGTTATTCTCGGTAGTGGATCAGTGTTGGGCAGGACCTAGTTATTCTCAGTAGTGGATCAGTGTTGGGTAGGACCTAGTTATTCTCAGTAGTGGATCAGTGTGGGGCAGGACCTAGTTATTCTCAGTAGTGGATCAGTGTGGGGCAGGACCTAGTTATTCTCAGTAGTGGATCAGTGTGGGGCAGGACCTAGTTATTCTCAGTAGTGGATCAGTGTGGGGCAGGACCTAGTTATTCTCACCAGTGGATCAGTGTTGGGCAGGACCTAGTTATTCTCAGTAGTGGATCAGTGTTGGGTAGGACCTAGTTATTCTCAGTAGTGGATCAGTGTGGGGTAGGACCTAGTTATTCTCAGTAGTGGATCAGTGTGGGGCAGGACCTAGTTATTCTCAGTAGTGGATCAGTGTGGGGCAGGACCTAGTTATTCTCACCAGTGGATCAGTGTTGGGCAGGACCTAGTTATTCTCAGTAGTGGATCAGTGTGGGGCAGGACCTAGTTATTCTCACCAGTGGATCAGTGTGGGGCAGGACCTAGACATTCTCAATAGCAAACAACTCTGACCAATGTTTATTTGTGTGATTTGCCCCATCTGCCCTGTACAAAGGACCATGTGGATGGTGGATGTGCCTTACTGGATTTCTTACCAACATATTTCCTCTCTTCGTTTTTCAGACCTTTCACCGTTTTCTCCAAAATGTCTGTCGTTATTTTCTTCAAATCTTCTGCTGAAAGCTGCAAAAGAGTATATTTAACACATAGTGTATTATGAGTAAGTGAGTGAATAATCTATTGAATATTAGCAGGCTTATTAGCTTGAATTGGGAGCATTGTCAACCATGAGATTGGGATATGGACAGACTGTCCCCAGAACCTCTTGTTGTTGTGCACCACCTTGGGGTATGGACAGACCCCCAGACCCCCTTGCTGTCCTGCACTACCAAGGGGTTTTCACAGACCCCCTAGACCTCCTTGCTGTCCTGCACTACCAAGGGGTTTTCACAGACCCCCTAGACCTCCTTGCTGTCCTGCACTACCAAGGGGTATTCACAGACCCCCTTGCTGTCCTGCACTACCAAGGGGTTTTCACAAACCCCCTAGACCCCCTTGCTGTCCTGCACTACCAAGGGGTTTTCACAGACCCCCTAGACCTCCTTGCTGTCCTGCACTACCAAGGGGTATTCACAGACCCCCTTGCTGTCCTGCACTACCAAGGGGTTTTCACAGACCCACTAGACCTCCTTGCTGTCCTGCACTACCAAGGGGTTTTCACAGACCCACCAGACCCCCTTGCTGTCCTGCACTACCAAGGGGTATTCACAGACCCCCTTGCTGTCCTGCACTACCAAGGGGTTTTCATAGACCCACTAGACCTCCTTGCTGTCCTGCACTACCAAGGGGTATTCACAGACCCCCTTGCTGTCCTGCACTATCAAGGGGTTTTCACAGACCCCCTAGACCTCCTTGCTGTCCTGCACTACCAAGGGGTATTCACAGACCCCCTTGCTGTCCTGCACTACCAAGGGGTTTTCACAGACCCACTATACCTCCTTGCTGTCCTGCACTACCAAGGGGTTTTCACAGACCCACCAGACCCCCTTGCTGTCCTGCACTACCAAGGGGTTTTAACAGAGCCCCTTGCTGTTCTGCACTACTAAGGGGTTTTCACAGACCCCCTACACCTCCTTGCTGTCCTGCACTACCTTGGGGTAAGGACAGACAATAGACCCCCTTGCTGTCCTGCACTACTTTGGGGGTATGGACAAAATCCACACCCCCTCACTGTCCTGCACTACCTTGGGGTATGAACAGACCACAGACTCCTTGCTGTCCTGCACTACCTTGGGTTATGGACAAATGCCCAGACCCCCTTGCTGTCCTGCACTACCTTGGATTATGGACAGACCACAGACTCCTTGCTGTCCTGCACTACCTTGGGTTATGGACAAATGCCCAGACCCCCTTGCTGTCCTGCACTACCTTGGGTTATGGACAAATGCCCAGACCCCCTTGCTGTCCTGCACTACCTTGGGGTATGGACAAATGCCCAGACCCCCTCGCTGCCCTGCACTACCTTGGGGTATGGACATACCCCCTCACTGTCCTGCACTACCTTGGGGTATGGACAGACCCCCTCGCTGTCCTGCACTACCTTGGGGTATGGACAGACCCCCTCACTGTCCTGCACTACCTTGGGTTATGGACAGACCCCCTCACTGTCCTGCACTACCTTGGGGTATGGACAGACCCCCTCGCTGTCCTGCACTACCTTGGGGTATACAGACCCCCTCCCTGTCCTGCACTACCTTGGGGTATGGACAGACCCTCACTGTTCTGCACTACCTTGGGGTATGGACAGAACCCACACTGGACCCCCCTCACTGTCTGGTATGGACTGACCCCAGATCCCCAAGCTGTCCTGCACTACCTTGGGGTATGGAAAGACCCCCTCACTGCCCTGCACTACATTGGGGTATGGACAGACCCCCTCACTGACCTGCACTACCTTGGGGTATGGACAGATCCCCTAGCTGTCCTGCACTACCTTGGGATATGGACAGACCCCCTCGCTGTCCTGCACTACCTTGGGGTATGGACAGACCCCCTCACTGTCCTGCACTACCTTGGGGTCTGGACAGACCTCCTCGCTGTCCTGCACTACCTTGGGGTATGGACAGACCCCCTCGCTGTCCTGCACTACCTTGGGGTATGGACAGACCCTCACTGTCCTGCACTACCTTGGGGTCTGGACAGATCCCCTAGCTGTCCTGCACTACCTTGGGGTATACAGACCCCCTCACTGTCCTGCACTACCTTGGGGTATGGACAGACCCCCTCACTGTCCTGCACTACTTTGGGGTATGGACAGACCCACTTGTTGTCCTGCACTACCTTGGGGTATGGACAGACCCCCTCACTGTCCTGCACTACCTTGGGGTATGGACAGACCCCCTCGCTGTCCTGCACTACCTTGGGGTATGGACAGACCCCCTCGCTGTCCTGCACTACCTTGGGGTATGGACAAACCCCCCTCATTGTCCTGCACTACCTTTGGGGATGGACAGACCCCCTCGCTTTCCTGCACTACCTTGGGTTATGGACAGACCCCCTCACTGTCCTGCACTACCTTGGGGTATGGACAGACCCCCTCACTGTCCTGCACTACCTTGGGGTATGGACAGACCCCCTTGTTGTCCTGCACTACTTTGGGGTATGGACAGACCCCCCTCAATGTCATGCACTACCTTGGGGTATGGACAAACCCCCTCAATGTCATGCACTACCTTGGGGTATGGACAAACCCCCTCATTGTCCTGCACTACCTTGGGGTATGGACAGACCCCTCGCAGCTGTCCTGCACTACCTTTGGGGTATGGACAGACCCCTCACTGTCCTGCACTACCTTGGGGGTATGGACAGAACCCCTCAATGTCATGCACTACCTTGGGGTATGGACAGACCCCCTCACTGTTCTGCACTACTTTGGGGTATGGACAGACCCCCTCACTGTCCTGCACTGCCTTGGGGTATGGACAGACCCCCTTGTTGTCCTACACTACCTTGGGGTATGGACAGACCCCCTCACTGTCCTGCACTACCTTGGGTTATGGACAAATGCCCAGACCCCCTTGCTGTCCTGCACTACCTTGGGGTATGGACAAATGCCCAGACCCCCTCGCTGCCCTGCACTACCTTGGGGTATGGACAGACCCCCTCACTGTCCTGCACTACCTTGGGTTATGGACAGACCCCCTCACTGTCCTGCACTACCTTGGGGTATGGACAGACCCCCTCGCTGTCCTGCACTACCTTGGGGTATACAGACCCCCTCCCTGTCCTGCACTACCTTGGGGTATGGACAGACCCCCTCACTGTTCTGCACTACCTTGGGGTATGGACAGAACCCACACTGGACCCCCCTCACTGTCTGGTATGGACTGACCCCAGATCCCCTAGCTGTCCTGCACTACCTTGGGGTATGGAAAGACCCCCTCACTGCCCTGCACTACCTTGGGGTATGAGCAGACCCCCTCACTGACCTGCACTACCTTGGGATATGGACAGACCCCCTCGCTGTCCTGCACTACCTTGGGGTATGGACAGACCCCCTCACTGTCCTGCACTACCTTGGGGTATGGACAGACCCCCTCGCTGTCCTGCACTACCTTGGGGTATGGACAGACCCTCACTGTCCTGCACTACCTTGGGGTCTGGACAGATCCCCCCTAGCTGTCCTGCACTACCTTGGGGTATACAGACCCCCCTCACTGTCCTGCACTACCTTTGGGGTATGGACAGACCCCTCACTGTCCTGCACTACTTTGGGGTATGGACAGACCCACTTGTTGTCCTGCACTACCTTGGGGTATGGACAGACCCCCTCACTGTCCTGCACTACCTTGGGTTATGGACAAATGCCCAGACCCCCTTGCTGTCCTGCACTACCTTTGGGGTATGGACAAATGCCCAGACCCTCAGCTGCCCTGCACTACCTTGGGGTATGGACATACCCCTCACTGTCCTGCACTACCTTGGGGTATGGACAGACCCCCTCGCTGTCCTGCACTACCTTGGGGTATGGACAGACCCCCTCACTGTCCTGCACTACCTTGGGTTATGGACAGACCCCCTCACTGTCCTGCACTACCTTGGGGTATGGACAGACCCCCTCGCTGTCCTGCACTACCTTGGGGTATACAGACCCCCTCGCTGTCCTGCACTACCTTGGGGTATGGACAGACCCCCTCACTGTTCTGCACTACCTTGGGGTATGGACAGAACCCACACTGGACCCCCCTCATTGTCTGGTATGGACTGACCCCAGATCCCCTAGCTGTCCTGCACTACCTTGGGGTATGGAAAGACCCCCTCACTGCCCTGCACTACATTGGGGTATGGACAGACCCCCTCGCTGTCCTGCACTACCTTGGGGTATGGACAGACCCCCTCGCTGTCCTGCACTACCTTGGGGTATGGACAAACCCCCCTCATTGTCCTGCACTACCTTTGGGGATGGACAGACCCCCTCGCTGTCCTGCACTACCTTGGGTTATGGACAGACCCCCTCACTGTCCTGCACTACCTTGGGGTATGGACAGACCCCCTCACTGTCCTGCACTACCTTGGGGTATGGACAGACCCCCTTGTTGTCCTGCACTACTTTGGGGTATGGACAGACCCCCCTCAATGTCATGCACTACCTTGGGGTATGGACAAACCCCCCTCAATGTCATGCACTACCTTGGGGTATGGACAAACCCCCCTCATTGTCCTGCACTACCTTGGGGTATGGACAGACCCCCTCGCTGTCCTGCACTACCTTGGGGTATGGACAGACCCCCTCACTGTCCTGCACTACCTTGGGGTATGGACAGAACCCCCTCAATGTCATGCACTACCTTGGGGTATGGACAGACCCCCTCACTGTTCTGCACTACCTTGGGGTATGGACAGACCCCCTCACTGTCCTGCACTGCCTTGGGGTATGGACAGACCCCCTTGTTGTCCTACACTACCTTGGGGTATGGACAGACCCCCTCACTGTCCTGCACTACCTTGGGTTATGGACAAATGCCCAGACCCCCTTGCTGTCCTGCACTACCTTGGGGTATGGACAAATGCCCAGACCCCCTCGCTGCCCTGCACTACCTTGGGGTATGGACATACCCCTCACTGTCCTGCACTACCTTGGGGTATGGACAGACCCCCTCGCTTGTCCTGCACTACCTTGGGGT